CATGGCTTCTGCAGCAACGCCTTGCCATGGTGCTGTTTATGTCGAGGGATTGGGCCCCCCGGTCGCAGATTCGAAGATTCACTCCCCCGATCGCGTCCTCGTCGCCGCTGCCGTGCGTCGTGCCGTTCGGCGACGCCGACTGGTAGGAAATATTATAGATACCGCTGCGTATGTGTGGTCATATGCATGCATTTTCCTTGTCGATGGATGCGGCAACAAAGTGCTCCGAGCTGGCAAATACGCTCATGCTCGTGGACAGTAGCATGCGGCGCACGCTGGATCCGGGACTCGCTGGACAAGGCCAGCACATGTGCGAATGATGAGCCCTCGAGGTCCGAGGAGAGTGCATTGTGCCCAGTACAGTATGTACGGCACGGAGCATCGTGTGGTGCCTTGTCCGTCAATCTGCATTTACCATGTCTCAGTTGGGTACCGCAACTCGTGCGCGCCTGGACTAGCCCAGCCTTATGAGCTGGCCGTCTCTGGGCCCAAAATAGGCCTACGGTGCGTGCAAGCCGCCTCTCGAGTCCCCGAAGGTGAAGGGGAGAGAGGTCTCGAGGCCAGGCCGTGTGCCCGGGGTTTGGGCCCGCTCGCTGGTGAGGAGCCACGGCAATGGCTCTGCGCTGCATGTCGCCATACTGTATTCCATGTCTGCGGTCGGAGGCGTTGCAGCTGCACAGTACGGTAGCCCTGAAGGGGGGTGAATTGCGTCTGCGGCGTCTTGCGTGCGTGTGCCTTGAAAAGATGGCAGCGGACGGGGAGATGAGGGGAAAAAGGAAAAGAGGCGTGTCCGCAGTGGTGCTGGGACCATGCCCTCTTGGGCCCAAGGGACCTCGGTGCAGGTTGCGGGTACTTGGGCACGTGAGCGGAGCGGGCGGATTTAGTCCAGATTCCAGTTCCGCGCACAAAGAAATCCTTGGTCTCGACGCCGGCCTCCCACTTTGGAGCATGCAATCTCGAGCCTCAGCTGGGGAGCTTCCGTTCCCGCGATCCCGGTCTGTGTGGCCGGCCGACGTGGGTGCGAAATCAAGCGTCACTGTGGCTGGGCTTGCAGCCCATATTGGACCTCTCCCGCTGGCCGTTGGACGGTGCCCTCCGGGGGCTCGTATTTGGGCACGTGGTGACGATGGCCTCTGCAAGGGCGGACGGAGCGCGGTCCCGTGTGGGCTCGCCTTTGGCCCCCATCTCGACCCTCTAGCTCGGAGTGTTTCAGTGCCTTTGTCTCCGACGTTTGCTAGAAAGTGGCCGACTAGGGTCCATGGGCAGTCGAATCAAGCCCGCTTCCACCAGGGTGGCAGAGCCAAGCTCCGGCACACAGGGTATAGCTGCTCGTCCAGGAGGCGTGAGAACCTTAATTCCCCAAACATGCTCTACTGCTGAATAACGGCAGCAAGGCTGAATCGAAACCACCCCCGTTGGCATCGCGACCGGCCCGTCTGTCTCCCTCGCAGGAGAAGAAGGGCAGAGCAGAGGAGAGCAGAGGAGGGCAGAGGAGAGTAGAGGAGAGCGAGGTTGCTTGCGGTGGCCGACGCCTCTGGCCAGCGGATGGCCCAGCCGTCTCTGCCTGCCGCCCGCGGGATCAATATGTAGACCGTCGGACCCGACCCACCTGTGGCGTAGCCGGGTTTCCGCGACACACTGAAGACTCGATGGATGGGCAGGGGGGTTGAAGAAGGGGGCGGGGGTGAGTCTTGTGATGCGGCTGGGCCATTGGAGCACGCTACAGTCCGTCCTCGCAGTCTCGTCCGAAACGTGAACCGACGTCGACTCTTGCACAAAAGGACGAGGGCATTCGGTGGGGATTGAGTCTCACGCGTTTGCAGCCACGGAGCCTTTACCTGCCAACCTTGGGTAGAGGCTGCCTGGCCTGCGACGGTGGGTGGCACCATGCTTCACGACAGGCTCCCACGTTGCCTGGTCCGTCTGTACTCGGCTACCTGGCTCGCTCGGACGAGCAAACACACGGCACGGCACGGCCACCGGACTTTGTTGAATCAACTAGTGCCCTTGCCGGCCGCAGGTGTTCGGGGAAGACAAGGTTTCGTGGATCCACCAATGGGCGCTCGTCGCTCGACGATCCGGCCGGCAGCGGCCCCTTGGGGAAGCAGAAGCAGAAGCAGGAAAACAAGATGCAACGGCGGCGGGCAAGCCCTTCGGAACAGGTGCGACGCTGTGGTTCGGCTGTCGCTCCACCACTCGTGCTCATCAGCAACTCTCGCTCACTCACGCCGCGGTCCTGCTGCCTGCATGGCAATCAATCAATCGATTGCATCATGGTTCGATTGTCGCTCTCGCTGGAGTGCGCGGTGCATGCTACAGTACTCGGCACGGCAAAACCTCGCGGTGCTCCTCCAAACTCCGCACAGCACATTGCGGAGGTCCAAGACTGCAACCGCAACATGCACGCAGGAGCCTGCATCTGCACATGTCGTCCGTCGAGGGAGAAGACAAACGACGCGGCGGGTCCCTGGTGTCGCCGCTCGTCGGCTTCCCCCAGGCCCCAGGCATGTCGTCGGGGACGTGGCCGGCTCGGAGCGGCGGCCAAATGCGTTTTCTCACGAAGCAGAGCTTCAATGGCAGCAACCGTCCGCCTCGGTTGGTGGCACAAGGGGCTAAGACGAAAAGCAAGGCCCCACGAGCGGCTGTCCGGACCGAACCCTGAAAGTTGATAGGGCTGAGGGAGCAACTGAGAGATTCCAGGCCCGGGTCCAGCGGACTACTGGCTGCAACGAGGCCAGCAAAGCAGGATGCGATGGGTCCGGAGCTGAGGATGCCGGTGGACCTCGTCTCCCCCATGGACCTCTGGCAGGGGACCCTTTGTCGAGAGGCGCACCAAAAGGCCCCTTTGCACTGGACAGGCGACGTGTGTCTTTCCAATTCCGGCATGGCAGTGCGCCTGCACCAAGGCCTCGACGGGCGGCGGCTCGAGTCCGGTAGCCGCGTCGAGGGCTGCACAGCTGGCGCTAGAAGGACCAAAGAGGACGCGTCGAGGCTAAGACAGGTGGCGGGCGCAAGGACAGCCGACGTCCAAGGCAGACTCCAGACGCGCGCAGGGCGTTGGAAGCAGCCGCGTGGCGGCGGCTTGCTAAGGGCGACGGGCCAAAAATAGCCACCCTGACAAAGCACGTGCAGGCATTTCGGACTGGGCTGGGGGGGAAGGGCCGCCCCAGCTCAATTCCCAGGCGAGAAGCCGACCAGGAAAAGAGAGGGGCGTGTCTCTGCCGTCTGGTTGGCCGCTCGCCGATCCAGTGGCGATCACTCGTGCGCCCCTGCTTGCCTTAGCCCAAAGTCTGTTGACGCGAGAACGGCGACGACGAGAAGGCAGTCCGCTCCACTCGCGGTCGGTCCATGGCCCAGCGGCGGTGCTTGGCCCGTCGTCATCGTGGCCGACAAGACTCACAACTCACAGTCGTCGCCCTCCCTCCACGACCGACGCCATGCACACGGAACCGGGGTCTACGGCGTGCCGGGCGCCGGATTCCCAGCTAGCCGGGGTCCTCGAGCCCGCGGATCCTGCGCTAATGACGAGCGAGCGAGCGAGCCCTACCAAAGTAGCCACTACTCCGTCCACGCTCCGCCCTTTCGCAGCCCGGCCCATGTACCGCCTTGTCCAGGTACATGCCTCGATGCTGTCGTGGCTGGCTCCCAGAGCTGGCGCGGCGCTCAAACAGCCGTCGGCGCTGGCCACGGCGACGACGCTCACGGGCGCTACGCGACGGGGGGGGGGCCATCTGGCCGTCACGGGCGGACCGTGGAATGGGCTTCCATGGCATGCCCGGTGGGCTGCCTCAACGTGTCTTGTCGAACCGGCGAGGATGGCTGGGCAGACGGTCGAGCTTGAAACCGCAGACGCAGGAATCGTTCGAGAAGCAGCAGCGGCAGCACCCTGGGGGCGCCGACCTGGCTGCTGGGACTTGTCCAGACGCAGCACGGGGCAATGCCACCCCGGATGCTTTGGACTTGGGGGCCAGCTGCTGCGTCACGGCCCCGGAGTAGCACCATGCCGTCCAAGCAGCCCTACGACGACACGACGGCCAAGCGTCCCCTTCTGCGAGAACCATTTTAGAGTCGCGGGATGAGCAGCTAACCCCCCAGGTGCAGAGACGCGATGCGACTGACCGGGGCGGAGGGCAGACTTGGGAGCAAAATTAGCCCTCATTTCTCGCCGGCCGGGATATGGAGCCGCTACCAAGGCCCTCGTCGTACCCGGTACCGAGTACGGTCGACCAATACTCGGAGCACCGCCTGAGCGAATCGAAGCGACCACGCCTCCACACACTCGCACGCACGCCCTACACACGCCCTACACACGCCCTACACACGCCCTACACACGCCCTCCTGTTCCGTCTCCTCCCCCACGGCGGGCTGGCCCATGATGTGTCCACCCCCCCACACTCCGTCCCGAGCCTTTTTTCGTCGGCCCCACCCCTGCCTGGCACTTGGAGTCCCAAGTTAGGACAGCAGCAGATCGTCCTGGCCTGGGCGAGAGAGCGCGCCTTGATGGGAGCGAGTGCGAGCTGTGTGACCCCGCTGCTGTGAAACGCTACCACTGTGCTCCGTCTCTTCGTGGGTACTTTGTACGTGCACGCTGTACATTACATGCCAGCCCTGCCATGGGGCTCGAGTCCGGGGGGGCTTGCCAGACGCCCTCTCTCCTGGCCGGTAATGTTGTCACTCGAGATACTTATATATTCAGCTTCCCTCCTGCGACGGACTGCCGAGCTAGCCTGCCTCCTTTCCATTGTCCCCGTCACTGTCAACTCTGACTCTCGTGGTTTGAAGCTCATCCCAAGGCCAGCCTGTTGCAACGACAAAGCTTGTACATCATCGCCTTCATCTTACACCAGAAGCCGAGCAGCTCTTGCTCACCCAACACATTGCACATACGACGACTGCTAGCTTCATCGCAGAGTGCTGTGAGGAGCTTCCAACGCTTTCGTCCCCTCCCCCCCCTCTCTCTCCAGTCCCTCCCTTCCTTCTCCTCGCCTCCACCTTCACAATGTCCATGTTTGCCATGCCGCAACACCACTACAGCTACGGTGCGCCGCCCGCACCCACGCGGCATTATTCCACACACGGAACCAGCAGTGCCTTCAGCAGTTCGGCTCACCCCGACGAGGATTGGACCAAGATCTCAGACCTTGCCGAGCGCCGAAGGATACAGAACCGCATTGCCCAGCGCAACTACCGTACGTTCTTTTGCCTCGTCCTCTCCTCAGGGCCCCGTCCCCCCTAAATTGGCTCGCCGCGGGAGGGCATGGTGGTCGGACCAGAGCGCTAACGTGCACGGCTTTTTCCAGGGAAAAAGCTCAAGCGACGCTTGGAAGACCTCGAGCGCCGTGCCGGCTCCTCGGATGAGGCGGAGCCCGAGAAGAAGCCCAGCCCCAGCAAAAGCAACAAGCGTCAGGCCTCGGCCACGGCCAAGGTGCAAAAGCCTCAGCCTGCACCGGCGAAGCCTCTGTCGCAGGGCCAGTTTACGCCGCCCATGGATCACGCCGACGATCTTGTCTTCAGCACGCCCGCCTACGATGACCGCGAGCGCTCTCACACGCCGCCCATGTTCCAATACCCGGCCTACCCGGCCCCGGATGAGCTGCTGCTGGACCCGTACGGCTCGACACAGCCTTACCCCACCATGTCTGCCGGCACCGCCGACCCCTATCCCAACTACCTGACGGCAACGTCGACTATGCCGGCAACTCTGCCTTCCATGACGCAGTTTAGCGACGCCATGAAGCGGGAGTCGTTTACTAGCGACGACGGCATGGGCTCGTACCTCAACTACAGCTTTGTGCCCGGCGTCGACATGGGCGTGCCAAGCCCCTACGACCCATCCAACCCTCATGTGAGTTTTGCGACGCTCGGCCGGCGCCGCCGAGACCTGTCTTGCTGACGTGCGGACCAGACACCACCGCTGTCGCATTCATTTGACCACTCGGCGTCGTGCTCAGAGACAGGTTATGAGTACCCGACGACACCCTTGTCAATGCCCGGGTCGCCCGGCATGCTTCAGCAACATCCGCAATGACCTCGGCGGCAGGCCACTGTGTTTGTACCGAAACTGAAATGAGCGACGTCACACGCCATGGCAGTGCATCGCTCTTTTTTTCTCCTTCCCGCACCCTCTCCACACACATATCCCGTATATACACACGTGCCCTTTTCTTCGCCGTCTGATGGTGTGCGCGAGCGGGACGCGTTGGACATTGGGGAGAAAGTGCATGCAGGGCGGGACGAGGCAACGAAAACTTGGCGTCGGTTGGTTGGGAGTGGCCCGAGGCTTGAGACATTGGTCTTCAGTGGACTGGGTCGTGGCGCATGAGAGATGAAACGAGATTTTTTTGGTTTATTGATGAAGCATTGCACGGCGACTTGACAGGGCCCTTACCGTCACTTGGTATATATATCTATATCTATATCTTTGGATATTACAACTATTTTCAAACAAAACCACAGGGGCGAGACTTTGGTGGTGGCGAGAGGCCGAACTGACACTATGATGCGCCGCCACGGGGTGTGTGTAGATGTACGACGCAGTAGATGCAGCCCCGGGATGTTCGCCCATGGTTGAGGGCGGCCTGTTGATTGTTGGAAAAAGAGGTCCTGGAGTAATTATGATGTGTACGATTTTTTTTCTATTCGTATGAGCCCGGTTTGAGACACATGGCATGGCGGGTGGAAGTCGAGGTCCAACGATGAAAGTGCCTGCCGCCCGGGCGGGCGCGGGAGTCCATGTACTCTCTGCTCGGCGAGCATGTGCGTGCTCGAGCATCTTGATTGTCCTAGGACGAATACGAAGTAGGTATTTCCCCAACGTTAGTGCTTTACGGGTGCTTTACGGACACGACGGCACGGGCAGCGGTTCAGAGCACGAATACAGACACAGCTTGGGCACACAGGATTGGCGGCCTCGCTCGTTGGAGGAAGAAGGGGACGCCACGGGAAGAAATGTACATACAGGCAGGCAAGGCAAGCGAACAAGAAAAGGAGGGGGGTGGGCTGGCAGGTAAACAAGAGCCGGCTGGGCGGGCTGCTGCAGACGTCCTCAGCCCGGCCCAGGCCCAAGCCAGTCCCAAGCCAGTCCCAGCTCTTTAAAAAAAGGAGAGACAGAGTGGCAGACCAGCCCAGGTCGGCGAGCATCACAAGGGGCCCGGGGAGGGGGGAGGGCACCACCACCCTGGACCTGGACCTGCAACCCGGCCCCCTCTGCCTGGCCGTCTGCCTGATTGCCTGCCTGGTAATTAGGCGGATGCGCTTCGGGACCGAGAGGACGCCATGGTGATGGAGATGGTGATGGAGATGGTGATAGGGCCAAGTCCGAAAGGGTGCGTCGACGTCGTTGTGCTTGGCGGCTGCCTGCCGTCTGCCTTTTGCCTGCTGTACGCCGTTATACTTGGTGCCTACATACAATAGGTAGACCCCCGTCCATGCATCCGAGAAATGCCCGTCGTTTCCCCCTTTTCGGGGGGCCAGTTTATTCAGTCACCCGGACCAGGGCGAGTGCAAAGATGCGGCTAAGAGTTGGAGGGTTGGCGATCTTTGTCTCGGGAGGCTCGGGCGTCGTCGTTGAGTGATGAGGGGGTCGGAGGGATCGAAGACGAGAGGCAGAAGGGTGCGCGAGCGGGTCTCTCGAGAGTCTGCCTCTGCTCGGTGTGAGTCATCCGTGTTGAGGGTGCCTGGCCCGGTAACGTCGGTGCGGCCTCTTCCCGTATTGTCAGTCCGCAATGGTCCTTTGCATCGTGGTTCCTCTGCTGTGAACTTTGAAGAGAGCGTGCGCAGACGGAGGGACATGCATTTACCGAGGGCTATGCACTGATCGCTGGCGGGCCCCGATAGAACTCGGCCCCCTCGGGCTAGCGCATCGGATCGGATCGGGGCTTTGTTCGGCCATGCCACGAAAGCTCTCGGTGAGGCTCAGCCCGAAGCGCAACAACCCCCAGCCGGACGTCACACAGCCCTGCACCGCCCACCATCCGCTGCAGACACGGCAGGCATCCATCGAACATGATTGACGACATTGTCTACCTCTACGGCGGCGACCAGTGAGCATCCCCCCCTCCGAGCCCGCCATAAGCCGGTCAGCATTGACGCCGTCCCGGCCAGGCCCTGGGACTCGCGCCGCTGGACAGCCTCGGACGACCGGGTCCGCGGCGGCGCGAGCACCTCCCACCTGACCGTCTCGCCCCGCCGGCCCACGGCGCGCTTCCACGGCCACCTCGACACCCAGACACTCGGCGGCGCCGGCTTCGCCTCGCAGCGCACCCGCGGCGCCCTGGCCCTCGACCTGCGCGCCTACGACGGCGTCGTCGTCTCCATCGCCGGGCCCGCCGCCGCCGACGGCAAGCGCTACGCCCTGACCCTCAAGGACTCGCTCGAGCCGCCCCGCCGCGACGGCCGCGACCGCGCCGGCGTCAGCTGGGAGGCCGACTTTGTGGCTGACCGGCCGCGCGATGTCAAGCTTGTGTGGAGCGACTTCAAGCCGACGTACAGGGGGAGGCCCAAGGAGGATGCTGAGCCGTTGGACTTGGCGGGTATCAAGCGGGTTGGACTGATGATGAGGAGGTGAGTACCTACTCCTTCTGCCCCGGGCATCATCATCCGCTTTGCACTCGCGATATGCGGGCTCCGAATCTTGCAAATTTTACAAGGCGACGGCTAACCAAGGGGGATATCTGTTTGTTTTCCTGTGCTTGGGAGCAGCTTCTTTGGCCAACAGGAGGGAGACTTCTCCCTCGAGCTTCACGCCATCGCAGCGTGGAAGAGGCGTCCTGCCGCCTCCGCGACGGAGTTAAGTGGACCCGCGGAAGACACGGAGGATGACGAGGAAGAGGATATCAAGGCCGGTGCTGAGTCCCCGCCCCGTCAGGCGAGGCGCTCGCGGTGGAGGAGCTTGTTTTGCGGCATGCTGTGATGGAGAGCTCGGGGCCTGTACATGCGTGCCCATGTAGTCACGGATAAAAGCTGCGTCAAATTATGGAACGCAGACAGAGGACGCAATCAACTCGAGACAGCGCCCCTGCTAAAGAGGAGGTTGCGTGATGGCGCGGACTATGCAAGTGCTGCCCCCGTAATAGCCTTGTCCTCTCTGTCCCGCCAGTCCAGATGTCGGCGCTCGGAGCGGAGCGGCCCGCCCGACCCCGATCGATGCCGTCACTCGGCCCCACACGCCGGCATGGTTTTGGCACCGCGATGGCGTCACGACTTGGACGTGGCCATCAGACGCAAGGCCGGGGCCCTTTATTCTCGTCGATGTCCCCCGCTGTTGCTGCTTTCACCAGCCATCCTGAGGACATGCGGGGCCCTTTTTCTAGCACACATGCTTGCCATCATTCCCTCACGCGCACGCCAATTGGACATGTGCGATTTGTAGCTCGCGGTCTGGCTCGGCCGAGTGTCTTGAAAGGGTGAGCTTCCCCCGGACGCCGACTCCCCACCCACTCATCCCACAGCATCATCACCTTCACCTCCATCACCACCACCACCGCCACCACCACCATGGCATCCCTGCTACACCCGCTGCTACGCCTCACCAACTTCCGCTCCCCGCTGCTGCGCGTCCTGGTCCCCTCCGTCGCCGCCGCCTTCGCCCTGCAGGCCGCCGCGGCCGCGCCCTCGGTCCTGGGCCAGACGGAGCGCTTCTACGACATATCCGGCTCGGCCACCGTGCTCGCCGTCGGCGCCCTCAGCCTGTACCTGCCGGCCCTGCGCGCCCGCGCCGCCGGCCAAATCACCCGCCTGCCGAGCCTGCTGGCGGCCCTGCGCCCGGGGGGCGGTGCTGCGGCGGGTGAGGCCGCCGCCGCCGCGTTGAACTGGAGGCAGGTGGTCGTCACGGGCATGGCCATGATTTGGACGCTTCGACGTGAGATGAACTCCCCCCCGGCTGCATCAAACAGGTGTAAGAATGGGAGTGAAGCCGAGCTAACTCGGTCGTCGTCTCAGTCGGCTCCTACCTCTTCCGCCGCGTCCTCTCCGACGGCAGCGACTCGCGCTTCGACAAGTTCCGCACCCGGCCCCTCGCCTTTGCCGGCTGCTTCATGGCCCAGGCCGTCTGGGTCTCGCTCATGCTGGCCCCCGTCTTGGCCCTCAACGCCGCCCCGGCCGCCGCCCTGCCCGCCGGCCTGGGCGTCGCCGACGTCCTCGGCATCGGCCTGTGGGTCGCCGGCCTGGGCTTCGAGGCCACCGCGGATGCGCAGAAGAGCAAGTGGGCACGCGAGAAGCGCCTCAAGCTGCACGACGAGGATTTCCTGACGAGCGGGCTCTTTGGCGTCAGGTATGTCTTTCGCCGCACCCCCGGCCTCTGACCTTCACTTGTTCTCATCCCTTTCTCGAGACGGGGTAAAGGGGGAAATGATACGCAGCTAACCCGTCGATCCTCGCCAGCCGCTTCCCGCACTACTTTGGTGAAATCACCCTGTGGACCGGGCTGGCTACCGTTGCCGCCGCCGCCCTCGCGCGTGGCCCCGTCCAGCTCGGCCTCGGCCTGGGTGGCGGTCTTGCCGGCGTGCTGACCACGACGGCCCTCTCGTTTGCCAGCCCGGCCTTTTCCGCCTTCTTGCTCACAAAGGTGTCGGGCATCCCCCTGAGCGAGGGCAAGTACGACAAGCGCTACGGGGGCCGCAAGGACTACGAGGAGTGGAAGCGCAACACGCCCCGGCTGGTGCCCAAGCTGTGGTGATGCTGCACGTGGATTGGGGAGGCATGTATCATGCGCTGTTTGACTTATAATGGTTTGGTACATGACTAAAGTCGGTTACGCCGGGCAAGCCCGCAGGGGTGCAGCCGTTGAATCCAAGCTTGTGTGTATTTTCGACCACCTCGCGTGAGGTAAGAGATTATTTATGGAACTGCTTCACCTTTTCCACCTCGTCGTAGCTACCCATGAAGATGCCGGAACGGTCGTGGATGTGTTCCGGTTGAACCTCGAGCATCCTCCTCATTTTGCTGTCGACTGCCTGACCGCCGGCTGCGGGATAACGTGGTTAGCAGAGGCGATGGTCAAAGGAGACGCGTCAGGAGCACGAGGCTCACCATTCTCAAACACCATGGCCATGGGGGCGCACTCGTAGAGAATGCGCAGCTTGCCCTTGGGGCTCTTCTTGTCGGCCGGGTAGGCAAAGATGCCGCCGTAGAGCAGGGTGCGGTAGGCGTCGGCGACCATGCTGCCAATGTAGCGCGAGCTGTAGGGCTTGCCGTCGGGCTGGGCCAGCTTGAGCGAGTTGAAGTAGTCGACGGTGGGCTGCTCCCAGTAGAGCGAGTTGCCCTCGTTGACCGAGTAGATGGCGCGCGAGCGGGGCAGACGCATGTTCGGGTGGGTGAGGATGAACTCGCCGATGCCGTTGTCGAGGGTGAAGCCGTTGACGGAGCTGTCCTTCATGGTGAGGACGAGCTGGGCCGAGGCGCCGTACATGGTGAAGCCGGCGGCGACGAGCTCGGTGCCGGGCTTGAGGATGTCGTCGTGCGTGCCCTCGGAGCCCTCGGGCAGCTTGTGGACGGCGAAGATGGTGCCGACGGAGACGCCGGCGTCGAGGTTGGACGAGCCGTCGATGGGGTCGCAGGCGACGGCGTAGCGGGCGCCCGAGGCGTTGCTGAAGAAGACGACGTCGTCCTCCTCCTCGGACACGAGCAGGGCGCACTTGCCGCAGGAGCGCATGGCGGCGATGAAGAGGTCGTTTGAGATGACGTCGAGCTTCTTCTGGTCGTCGCCGGTGCTGTTGGAGGAGCCGGCGAGGCCCGTCAGGTTGACGAGGGAGGCGCGGCGGATGTAGTAGGCGATGGACTTGAAGGAGAACTGCAGGGCGTGGCAGAGGAGGCTGCCGAGGCGTCAGCAGAGCTTCGAGCCTCGGCCGGAGGGGGGAGGGGGGGAAGCGCACGTAAAGTCACCGGTGGCCTCCTTGTGCTTGGTCTGCTCCTCGTTGAGGAAGCGCGTGAGGGTGACGATCTGGGTGTTGACCCTCTCGCCGTTGCCGTTTTGGTCCATGGCCAAGGTGGCTGCTCAGGTCCGGTCTTGCAGGTGTTTCTATCTCCTCGTGTTGTTGTTGTCAATTGTCTGGACGGGCCAGTGGCCTGGCTCGGCAACAATCGGGAGAGGCAGAGGAGGTCTGTCGGTGTCTGGTGGCAGTCGCGGGGTTCGCGCGGATGGATGGTAGAGGCTGCGAGAGGTGACGTCGTGAGGATTGAGAATGGAGAGCCGACCAAGAACCGACCAAGAACAGAAAAGGAGCGGATACACAAGGGCAATATAGGCTCGGGGGTGTCGGCCAGCATAGCGCCGCGCCGCCGCCGCTCACGATGGCTCTCCGACCCCTCCGACGTTACTAACCTACCTACGGTAATTACCCCTCGTGCCGGAACGGCTATCCAAGGCTCGGCCGTGCCATCCCGAGCTACAGCAAGAGGATTTCCCGGGACCGAGCTGTCCCGACGGGCGTCCACGTGCCCGAATGCAGCCCGTGCCAAGTCCCGTGACCCTTCGTGCATGTACCGCACAAGTACTGTACATCCATCAATCCATCCCAAGTTAGCAGGTTCACCAGCGTCTCCGTTCCGGGCCATTGTTCCGCTCCGAGCCCCTTCATATGGCACGCCGCATTGCTTCCAATTATACTGCCCGGCGGCCGTAGCCCAATCCGGAAAAGCCGCGACCGACGCCTCCCCGAACCTCGGCATGTGCTCGACACGCCGACGACAATCTCTCCCCACTCTCCAACAAACACACCCTCTCTCCCTCTCTTCGCCCAGCAGCCGACATCATCGCACCTCGCTCTCAAGCCCCAGCGATCCCCCAGTCCGCTTCACCCTCCCCGCCCCGCCGTGACGCCCGATAGCCCAGAAGCAACAAAACGAAGACCGAGATAGGCGCATGCAACGAGGTGCAATAGAACCCAAGGCATCTTTCCCATCAACTACACCAGATACCTCGTGACACATAAAACCACTCCAAAAAATGGTCGCAGACACCCTCGTCTACCACCCCTCGGTGGCCCAGTACCTGCGCTACGTCGCCACCACCGTCGGCCGCGACAAGCTCCTCCGCGCCATCCAGTACTTTGCCCGCTTCTACGCCTGGTACCTGCTGCGCACAAACGGCACCCCGGCCCAGATGGCCCCCTGGAACGTCCTCAAGCGCCAGCTCGGCCTCACCCGCAAGATCCTCCGCGTCGGCAAGCCCGTCGAGCACCTCAAGGCCGCCGCCGTCGCCGCCGACGCAAAGTCCACCCCGGCCTTGCTGCGCTACGCCTCCGTCGGCCGCCAGCTCGGCTATGCCGGCTATCTCACCTTTGATGCCCTCGCCCTGCCCGATGCCATGGGCGTGCGCAAGTGGCACCGTGCCGCCGACGCTCAGCGGCACGCCTACCGCTTCTGGGCCGTCGGCATCATCTTCAGCGTTGCGGCCCAGCTCTACACCCTCCGCCAGCTCAAGCGCAGAGAGGCCGCCATCGACCGCAAGGACGGCGAGGGCGTCGTCGAGAGCAAGCGCATTAAAATGTCAGTCCCCCAATCCCCGGGTTTTATGCCCGCGTCTACACGCACACTAACACGCCTTCAGGGAGAGATCCGTCAGCCGCCTCCAGCTGCTCTGCGACCTCTGCGACCTCGCCGTCCCCACCTCGGCCCTCGGCTGGGCCGGCTTCGACGATGGCTTCGTCGGCCTGGCCGGCACCCTCAGCAGCGTCATCGGCATGTACACCCAATGGAAAAAGTCGGCCTGAGGAATCAATACAGAGAGCGCTCCTTGTCAGCCGCTCTTTTGCACACATGGACTGCATGGAATCTTTGCTGCCAAGGTAGTGGCAAATTTTGACGTGGCGATGAGCAGTTGGAGTCTTCTTCCTTCCTTCTCGTCAGTATTTTCTTGCGTTTGTATAACAAGGCCGATATCGAGTAGCGTGCAATCAGTGTCGACTTTTCACCACTGGGGATCTCATACAAAGCCATTTACTTTAAATCGACTCGTATTCACGAGCCACCAGGTACACTGGACCGGGCACGAGAGAAAAGGCAAAGACGGCTAGAGATGGAGACGTAGCAGGCATTCTGATGATGGTACACTCGATCTTTTCTTCGTTGCTTCCCTTCCACTTCTACCGGCCTAGCGTCGGCCGCCTTTTCGTCGTGGGTGTCGCACAAGCTTTCCCCTCTCCGCCTCACACCGTCAGCTTTCTTGTTTTCCCTGCCCATTCGGGCGACCCACATGCGCCATGCGCCTATCGTTCTGCAAGCCCTCTCCATCCAGCCTCCTCTCCTTACCTCTCAACCGATAACAAGAACATGGATATGAAAAAGGTTCTCAGGCGAGACCGAAAGCGAAAGCGAAAGGCGACTCTGTCTCATGCTTTGTTGACGATGACGGGTTGAGGCGCGGCTCGCGTGGCGATATCTGTCACCTCAAATTAGCAACGTTCCTCGAGACATGCGACAATCCGTGACAACGGAGCTGGGAAGGAAGGACTCACCAGTAGCGTCCGCCTCGCTCGTAGTCACGCGCATACCCTTCCCGCGGTGGGTATGTGGGCTCCCGCGGCGGAAAGTCCCTTGGCTGTCGGTCGTACGGGCGGCCATTAGCATAAGGGTTCGGCGGAGGAGGTGGGTAATCGCGGTGGTACGGATCGTCGTAGCGCCCACCACCACGTGGCGGAGGGTAGTCTTCCACCGGGCGACGTGGGGGAGATCGGTAGCGAGTTCGGTCGTCGTAGTACTCGCGTCGAGGGCTTCGGTCGCGATATCCGTACGGCCCACCTTCTCGGCGAGGGCTGTATCCGCCGCCACCGCCGCCGCCGCCGCCGCCGCCGCCACTGCCACTCCCGCCACCCATGCCGCTGCCGCCACGGGGAGGTGCACGGCGATCATACTCCTCAAACGGAGGCATGTGCGGGCGGCGTCCGGGGGAGCGGGAGCGGCCGCGTTCCCGGGGAGGGAAGTCAGGTTGGGTCTAGAGTCCACGCGGTTAGGGATACACGTTCGTAGACAATGCCAGAGGGCGTTGACTCACATCTGCCACGCATTGGACGCGATTTCCCTTGAACTCTCGGCCATCAAGCTTCTCTACGGCGGTGCGCAGGTCCGCTGCGGTCTCAAATTCCACAAAACTGAAGTACTGGTCAGCCAGACTGTTTTGTCGTAAATCAAACACACGCCAAGGGGCTTACCCTCTGCCGTTAGATTCGCGACCGGTCTCGGAGTACACGACGTCCAGGCTGGACTGACGCGCAAAGTCTTTAAGGTCCTATTTCCAGTATCCACGTAAGTTGGTGTCCCCAGGAGCGAAGTGCTTGGCGAGCATGCTGAGGGAAAGTCCACGAGTCCGCCAGACCTGCCTGCATCCATCAGGGCAAGAGTACCAAGAGGAGCTGGCGTGGGTGGTGTTGACCAAGGGAATCGCCGGGGAGGGTGCCGTGGTGTGTCCAGTCCAAATATAGAAATAAGAAAGATGACATTCAAGTGAAGCAGGGCTCCAAGCGCGGCCGGGCAGGTAGCTCCTCCAGGGGATGGTGGTGGTGATGGGAAGAGAGGGATCCATGGAGTCCTGGGACGAGAAACGGGAAGATTGCACAGACCTGCCAACTGGTATCGCTCGGGAGTCCGGTGATCTGCATCCGGTGAGGAGTTCGACGCGGTCTCGGAGGCGCGCGCTCGTGGTTACCAAATCCGCCGCCCTCGCGGTTACGGGACCCACGAGCAAACTGGACCGTCAGGCGCTCTCCCATGAAGTCGGAACCGTCTATCGCAGGGCCAAGTCAGCCAATCAGGTTCCAGCGCAGAGGAGCGCTCGGGTCGTGCTCTCGGGAAGGTTCTGGTGTTACGTACGGAAAGCTGCGAAACCATGAAAGGGCAAGGCGCCAAAAGGTCAGCATGGTCCGGAAAAAAAGGGATTCCCGTGGTCGTCCCGCGGCCGGAAGATCGACGTACCGGGAACTACATCTCGGGCATCCATGGGATCTTTGTACTCGATGAAGCCAAAGCCGTTCATCAGCTTGACCTCGGTGATCTCTCCGGTGCCATGGGTCGCGAAGTGAGCCTCAACGTCGCCCTTGGTAGCTGCAGGTAACGCGTCAGTGGTGGCCAACGGGAGGTTGGGAGGCGGGGGATGGACCATTTCGCGGGAGGTTGCCCAAGTAAAGCCTGGTGGCCGAAACCTCGGTCATGACGCCGGCTGCGGGCGGGAGAATCCGCGGGCGGGTTCGAAACCTTACGATGCCTCTCTGGCGAAAGACGCTGGAGTCGAGGGTGCGCTCTGGAGTCCAAGGCTGGGTCGCAAAGGAAAGCAGGCCAGGGTGCTGCTGGTGACGAATTTGAGCCTGGGGCTTTCTCGGTGAGAGAAGAAAAAAAATGGGGTGCGAGGGGAGCCTAAACTAAGCCTTGCATCCGATGAGTGGGGCGGTCAGAGGCGGCAGAAATTCCCGAAAGGGCATGGTTGCCCGCAGCTTGGCGGCTGGCGGTGCAAAGTACCTTTGTACCGCGACGAGCCGTCCATGAGGTACGTAACGCATCTCCTCTGAGTTTGGCCTCACTCAACGGACACCGCAAGTCCATGCAACACTTGATGGTATAATGGTAACATGCATACATACTTCGTACATCAACGTCATCAACCCAGCGTCACTTTAAGCTCTTCCGTTCGTAGAACCGTGCTTCCCGCACTTGTCATTTCATAGCAGACGCCTCACGCCGAGTTCGTGCAACATCTACACCCCCTCCCTACCGCGACCCGGAGTAAAGCACCTCGGGACAGGCGCCGAGCACAACAAGGTGGCTATCAAGAGCTCGGGCCAGTCTAGGTCTCGTCGAAGAGTATCGACACAACCTCGTCGAGCACGGTAAACACGAGATGGGCACTGTCGAGACCCAGTCAGCCATCATTCTCTCGCGCGGGGTCTGCCACTTACTTGAGTCGTACGTTGTTAAACGTCGCAAATATGCGCCGGCTGGCCGCCTGCGCGTTGACCCTTCCGACCACGCTGGCCGCAAGGTCCGGCACCAGCGTCGCCAGCATCAGGCTCGCTTCCGTGCGCGTCTTCTTCCTCTCCGCCGTTCCCCGAGGTGGACGGTCCCGCTGAAGCTCTCCGCCCGGCCACAGTCCGTCCGACACCATGCCCACGTATCGCAGAATCGACTCCTCCTGAACCAGCATCTTGACGTTGTCGCGCACTTTTCTCTCAATCGTCCCGCCGAGCAGCTGTTGGAGCACCATGACCACCGCTCTCCCGCGCAGCCAGTTGTTCCCTCTGTTGAGCTCAAAGACCTCCAGAAAGATGTCGCAGATGGGCTTGATAAAGGGCTCGAGCTCCCTGTCCTCAAACGCGTTGAGCTCGGCCTCGGCCTCGGCGGCCGGAAAGACTTCCTCGTTGACGCCGAGCGGAATCGAGTTCAACTGGCTCGTCGCCGCCGCAATGAGATTCTGCCCCGCGACGGATATCTGGTCAAGCACGGGGATATTGCCCAGGATGTCGTCCATGCCGTCTGCCACCGAGTCGTACAAGCGCGTCATCATGTCCTTCTTGTCCTCGCGATCCATCAGGTCCTGGCCCTGCGCAACGACGCTCTGGGACAGGAATGCGCGCAGCTCTCGGCTGCGACATACATCCGGCAGCAGCAAAAGCTCCCTCAGGTACTTTTCCAGCGCCGCCCTCCTCTTGCGGAGGAACTCGCTTTGGAACTTCATCACCATGCGCCGCCTGGGAAACTCGAGGTCCCGGACCGACGGATACCTCGACCGTAGCTTCTGATGAAGGTCGTGAAACTCGCTATACCTCCTCGTAACTATCCACGACGCCGCGGGCATCTGCTCTCCCGCATTGCGCTGGACCTCGACCACGTAAAGCGCAAACTCCCTGCCGTCCCCTTCTCGGCCCACCTGGATCGATTTAATCTTAATGGTCGAGCGTCCGTAGAGGCTGTTGTCGCTTTCTTGCACCACGTACTGCTGGCGCTGGAGCTCCTTGCGCCTGATTTCTCTCTGTAGACTCGCCTTTGACTTGCGAAGAATCCGCAGCTCCGACGTGTTGTTTGTTAGCTCGGCCTTCTTTGTCAACGAGTCCACCACGGCTTCTTGCGCCACCAGACGGTCAATGTCGTTGGTCAAGGCTGTGATGGCCTCGGCGAGGCCCAGGTCCCCGGGTGCGGCCTCGTGTACTTGGTCTTTGTCGTCCGCGGCACCCACCCCATCCTCTTCAGGCTCGTCGGGCAGATCCTTTTCATCGTCGTCGAAAAGATCGTCGTCGACAAACACCCCAATGCGTGACGCAGCGCTGACCAGGCCTAATGAGGAGAGGCTGGGCTTGTCAGAGTCCCTGCTCAAGATGGAAGTCTTGCCAGCATCGATCGAGCCCCGGCTCGAGTCGTTCTCGCGACCCGTCAGGAAGCTGGAATCATTGTCCTCTGTGCCGAACAAGGACGCACGGAGATCCTCGGCCGTCTGCGGCCCGTTGTCGTCCAAAATATTGTTTAGAGCCTGCTCGACAGCCTGCACGACTTGGGTGTCTGGGACCGGGTGCGCCGGCACGTACGAATCAAGACTCTGCACCGAGTCCAGCATGCCATCGTGCTCCAGGTCGTCGTCGTCGAAAAGAGGGCTGGGGGAACTCTCTTCCAACGACCGTCGGGGCGCTGCTAAGTGATCGATTCCGTTATGAATGTCACTTATGGCTCGCAGGTCTGAGGCTGAGGGGCAGCGCCGCGCCGCCACACCTCCCGGCGGGGCAGACGCAAGTCTGGCAACGGGCTTGGGCTTGGTCTGCTGGTATTGGGTTGCTCGCGATGACGATGGTTGATGGTGATGATTTTGTTGTTGCTGGAGCTGCGGCTCCAAATGGCTCGATGGGCCGGGGGTAGGGGGCATACTCGCATTAGACGATTCTTGAGAGGCAAGGCATTTGTAGTACAAGTCGGATTTCCTGAATGCCTGAAAGTAGCGAGACTGCATCTCCTCGAGCACGGCGCTTTGAGCTGTGAGGATGGCTCGTCGAGCTTTGTGGTATTGAGCCGGCGTCGCAGAGTTGCCGGCCTGGAGAAACCGGCGAACCTCCTTTCTGGTCGACTCGGGCACTTTGAGTTCGGGCTTTGACAGATAGGCCTGGTGAATTTGCTGCAGATCCACCCGGTCTGATGGATTCCACATGGGCAAGTTGGACGAGGACTCATCGCCTTCGTCTTCCTCTTGCCCGTCGTCTTCCAACGGATTGCGAAAACCGTCCACGACGAGCCAAAACTGGACGAGCGACATGAGATGCTGGCGGTCCATGAACTCCATAAAGTACGACAGTCCCGAAGGGTCCCGCAGCAGCTCGACCAGAGAAGCATTCTCCAGCCGCGAAGTAGGGGCAGAAGTTGAAAACGACGAGCGCAGAGGTGGGGGGGCACGATGGTCGCCGCCAGCGGCAAGTAGGTTGACCGTCTGATCCAGCATTCGCTTCCCCATCTCGAGGCGGCGCAGATAGACTGGGTCCTGGTTCTCCTGCAGAGAGTCCCGCTTGAGTTGGCTCACGACCTCACTGCGAAAGCGGCGCGCATCGGACAGGTTGTTGACCTTGCGGATGCCACGGATGAACTTTTCAAACTTGCGTTCGCTATCTCCCGGGCCGAGGCGAGGCGCTGCGGCGGACTTTGCGGACCGAGGCGGCGTGGGCTGGGAGTGCTGGTCGAGGGCCGCCCTGAGCTTGCGAACCGTGGACCTGTCGAGGAGCATGGAGCGGCCGTAGCTCTCCATCAGCTGGTTCCACGTGTCCGGGTCGGAGAGGAGCTGGATGACGGGGAAGAGCACGGCGCAGGCAACGATCTCGCGGACGAGGATGGAGACGGCGCGGCTGGAGAGCATGGTTTCGGGAAGCACCCGGGGCATGACGCGCGCGACGAGCGACCGGAGGTACTCCTGCTGGATCATCTTGGTGTCGGGAAAGGAGAGCGAGGCGGCCGGGTGCAGGCGGCCATCCCTGTACTTGGAGGCGATGGCGAGGTCGAGCTCCTCGGACTCGGTGACGGATCGGTTGAGCTTCCTCCCGCGGATGGACCTCTCTGCGTCGTAAAAGTCGCGGAAGTGAGTCGTCAAGATGGGCACGAGGCGGCTGGTGACGACATCGGCCAGGTCCTTGCGGCTCAGCGACGCAAGCAGGCTCGACAAGGCCAAGCGGACCGACCTGTCCACCTCGTCGGGAAAAACGGGGTTGCGGCTAATGTGCGAGTACCATGTGCGCACAAAGTCGCGGAGTATCAGGTCGAGCAGGCCATCGACGGCCCGCGCCACACGCGGCGAGGCGAGCTCGAGCGTCGGTTTGGCGTATGTTTGGCGGCGCCGCAGAGCCTCGACCTCGGAGCGCCAGCGGCGGGCGTCGAGGAAAGAAACGCCGTGGGGCCGCGACGAGCGCCGCCGAGGCCGTCGCGAGGCCAGCAGCAGCAAGGCGACGAGGCCGACGACGCTAGCGGCGATGCCAGCCGCGAAGGCGTACGCTGCCCAGCGGAAAAGGGCGCACCAGCTCGCCGCATAGGCACAGGCGACGAGGGTGGCCACCATGGCGACGGCCGCGTCTCTCCGCTTCAGGGCCATGGCCAGGGTCGTCGCCGGCTGTCGGGCTGCATCGTCTTTGGGGCAGGACGGAGTCAGGGTCGGTCAGGTCGGGGTGGAGACAAACGGTGCCGGACCAGAGGGAGCTCCGAGATCACATTTGCATGACAACTTGACAACTTGACAACTTGATCGCTCCCTCGACTTAGGTGGGTAGTCCCCTGGTACTTGTCACGGGCCTTATCGATTAGCTGGGCCGGCCGCGGTACTCCGGGCTAGCGCGACGAGCTGCCGGCGCGGCATGTGGCGGCCGTCTCCGTACCTTCTCCGTACCTTCTCCGTACCTTGAAGAGGGCGTTTGTTGTGACATGCAATGACATGCCAGGGTCCCTGAAAGACTCCATCTCGCAAAATTTCTTCATATCTCAACCTTTGACCTCACGTCGTTTGCATCGTTGGTAATCGCCAAAGCCTTGACCTTTGAGTCTTGCCAAGACAGGGGCGGTCAAACGCCTGCAGGTAAAACAGGCCAAACTGCGGCGGATGCAGATCCATTGACGCACATGACGCGCTACCTGACATCCGCCCCGGCAAGGAAGCGCCCAGCCGGCATAGTACACCTCCACGCGACGCGTCTCACCCAAAGCATTCCTTCAACTCTTCCCCGAACGTCCAGAACAACCCATTGGCGCATGGCTAGTCCGTCCATGACGTCTTTGGTCCAGACATGTGGACAGCTGAAACATATATCCCCCCCTTCGAGAAGCCACCGCTTCCTGCCCTCGACCCGATCCACCCTCCAATGACTGTTCCCTTCGTCAGCTTGGCAGACCCGCCCGGGCTCCCAGTCTCTTCCACCCGATAGCCTCGGATAGGTCAAGGCCACATTCGGGATACTTCTGACCGAGCGTGCCTTGTCGTCGAGGAAAACAGCCAGCCCTCTCGACCAAGGGGAGACAAGGAGGAAACACGAAGCTTAGCCGCTGCCAGTCCTGCCCGGAGGTGACGCTAGACTCTCGCACTCGGCCCCCCAGCCCGCGATGCGTATGCATGTAAATGTTGCCCGGCGCCAGCAGCGACGAGCACTCATGGCGCCAAGACTGGAGTAAAGCTGCGTGGGTATCAACAAATGCTTTTCGAATACTCCCTTTTGTGTGTTGCCCAGAATGTCAACGATCAAATTCGCCTGTCCCGCTCCGTCGTCCTATCCCATTTTTGTTCGCCGTGCGCGTACAATAACACGGCCACCCTGCTGTTGACCATAGTGAGTCCATCTATCTTTCACATATTGGAGACTCCTTGGGACCCTGGATCGACTACATTGTCGGAGAGGTTGATGAGGAGCTGCGCGAGACATCTCTTGGTGGCAGCATCGTCCCTGAGGACAGACGAAAAGGTGGCGTCTCGAAGCGGTTCGGGCAAGCACTGCCTCAAGGCTTCGCGAGCCCTGGCATTGTCGCTGAGGCTAAATGGACGGTGCGAGTTAGCCTGCTGTGACTCCTCAACAGAATAGCACAAAGCATGAGAGAACCAAGCAAGAAACGTACCGGAGGAAGCATCGCACAACGTGCTTGAGTAGGCGGGCCGTCTGCGACTCGACCAGCTGAGCAACCATATTACTCAGGACGGTACCGACGGCGTAGAAACGCTCGTAAGTGGCGCAGATGTAGTTGAGGCCGTTATCGTCGAGCAATATCTTCTGCACAATGAAGATGGCTACAGTCTTGCTGAGCTCCGAACCCGTCTCCATGATTCGGAGGCAGAGCGGGATGATCTCGGTGGTCAGGAGGAAGTTGATGACATCGGACGAGTCGTTCTTGACTAGGGCGCCGATGACGCCGAGGCTAGTGAGGCGCAGGTATTCAAAGGGCCGCGATTTGGACGTTGTGTTGAGGAACGGGTACAGAAAGAGGGGGACATGGGCTATCGGGGAGTAAAGTCAGCTAAACTTGTTCCAATGGCGGGTTTGGGCGTCCGAGTGCGCGGTCGTACCGTTGAGGAACAGGGCGCGAGTATCATTGTGCGATGCTACGCACTGCAACAGCGCCAGGGCGTTGCAGACTCGGTTGGACGCAGCCGCGGTAAGCTGGGAGGGGTTGAGGAGAGTGTAGACGGAAATGATTTCTTGCAGGAGCGAGGTCATGACGCCTAGAAAGCAACAAAGACGGGGTCAGCCAGGGCACCGGGGTTGTGGAAGAGAAGTGGAGCTGCTGTACCGAAAGAATGCCAAAGGATGAGCGCCAGCTCGGGGACCTGCTCTCGCTTCTTGCTAAGCTCGAGCAGCGCGGCCTCCCTAGTGTTTTCATTGAGCAAGTCGGAAATGTAGGCCATGGTGCGTCGGTTCTCCTCCGAGATGTTCTCATGGCCGCCGTCCTGGGCGTGAACGGCGGCCATGCTTCCAGCGCCCGAGTGGTTGCCCGACATGCGGCTGAAGTGCTGGTGCTGCTGGTGCTGTTGCTGTTGCTGTTGCTGTTGCTGGTGCTGCTGGGCGACGGAGACGGCGCCCTGGTGGCCGCCCGGCTGGTGATGCGACGGCTGCTGTTGCTGGTGCAGCCATGGCGAGTCGCCGCCCTGGAAGGGATGGTGTCCATAGACGTGCGCCGAGGGAATCATGGCGGAAGGCGACCGGGAGACGTGGCTGGGCTTAACAGCACAGGTCCTGGCAAGGCACAGTCTTTTGCGCGTGCGTCACAGAGGGTCGCCGATCGGCGCAGGTTTCGAGAAAGGCGGGCGACGGGGGTTGAAGACGAGGCGCGCGTTTTCCGGGGGCCGTCAAGGAGGAACAAAGACTGGATGGAAGGTTGGAGAGACGGGGAAGACAGCCCTGTGCTGAGGCAGCTTGTCGCCGTCGTGTCGTCGTTGGGCGAGGGCGAGCCGTCAAAAGTCTCTGGGCCCCTTGGGTCAGGCGAGGGAGGAGGTCTCAGAGCGTTTCGCAGACCTGGTATCCTTTCTCGAGCGGGATCGAGCGAGAGAGGAGAAGGGTCGGCTGTCTGTGTCTCAGGCTCGGTCTGTGGTCTCTTCGTGAGCGTGTGTGGGCGGGCATGTGCGTGAGGACGTTGATGCGGTCCACCGCCTCAGAGCCGCAGCGCTAGCGACTGGCAATGCACGGACCACCACCGCTGGGCCAGTCGGATGCGCCAATACTTTTGCACGCGGTACGTGATGTCCAAGGTACCTCTCTGGCTGGTGATGCCCGATCGGCCTTGGGCCCTCTGCACTCTATTATCCCTCCTCCAGTGAACAGCAGCGGCTAGGTACCTACCAAGTTAGGTAGGTAGGTACCAGGTAGTAGGTACCTAGGTAGCTGTAGCTCTATTTCAGTTATCTACTTACCTGGGTACCTAAGATAGGTACCTAGTATGCAACTTCCTAAGGCAATGCCCCTTTGCTTGTCCCTTTTATTCCCCTTTGGCCCGTTCCCTTCTGCCGTGCATCCATCCAAGGGAGAACTCGAGGTACATCGACCAGACACTATGTTATCCTGCTGCTTTATGTAAGTGGCTGGTGTCATCCTGCAAGTACGCCTCGTGACGGCTCTAAGCCTGCTTCATTCTCATTACTATCTGTGCCGCTCTTCTCGCCGACGGCAACAATTACACACTCTCATCCCCATACTGGCCTATACAATCACGGCGCCTGCTCCCTTCCTTCTTCGTCCTCTCTACCCGGATAAGCACGACCCAACGGTGACTAGCTGACGATGATTACACCCACGTAAAGCGCCCTTTTTGCCTCATCCCACATTCCGCCAACGGAAACCATGACGAAAAAAACAGGTAGGAGGGAAGGGAAAAGATAAACATCGCTTCTTGCAATGCAATTTCGCTCCGTCTTCGTCCCACACACGTCCCCACCGCGCGAATATGGAGTCGACCCGGCTCATCCTCTTGCCCATATCCCCTTACCCAGACGTCTCCTCATGCCTATAACCGAAGCTCTCTGAGGATCTGGTCCGCCATGTTCTTGTATTGCCACGTGTTGCCTGTCAAGCGCTTGAACTGAATGCCGTGCAGCGACAGGAGGGGCACCTTGACGATGAAAATCTCAAACTCCATGACCAAGCTGCCCCCCAAATCGCTCTGCACCTGCGTGCTCGTCTCCCCGGGCACCCGTCGCGAGACTCCAGTCCGTCTCGGGATGCTGTCCACCGACGCCTCCGAATTGGAGAAGCTCCGCTCCCTGTCCGGGCGATCTCGGTCCGGTCGGCCGGGTGTGCGAGGCGTCGTGGGTGGTCGCTCCCGATCCATGTCCCGAATCTCCTCGCGGTCCCGGTCATCTCCTCGCATGAGCCCGCCGAGGCTAAAGCGACGCCGGTGGCCGGGCGTTTGCGCTGGGCTGCCGGGAGGGTCCTGCACCCTATTGAGGTCGATGCTGGGCGCGTGGCTGCAGCTGAAGCCTCCCTTGATCTCGGTAAAGTCTACGTCGAGCCGCCGGAGCACTCGCCTGATGTCGGCTCGGATCGCGGGCACTGACTTGCCCGATGTCGTCGATACGCTGAATAGGCCCTTGAGGAACACGGGCTTGGCTAGATCTGAACTGTCCAGCCTGTCCGTCGAGACTCCGCTCTGCTCCTGCTCCAGGTCCGTCTCTTCAGGGACGTCGGCCTCTTGAGCCCCCTCTCTCCTGCGCCGGCGGCGCTGGATGCTCTCTCGCCGGGCGTGGCCCAGCGACTTGGCCCTCATGCTGACTGATTTGGAGTGGCCGTGGCCCCTCTGCGGCGCCTGTCCCTGATTCTCGTTTGCGATCGACTGATCGGAGCCGCTCGTTACCGGCGGGTCCTTGGCGGCGCCGTCAGACCCCCGCTGCCGCCGAATGTCGGCAGAGTTGACGCTCGTCGATCGGCCGAGGCCCGACCTCCGGGAATCTTTGGAGCCGCCTGCGGAGATGGGTGGGCTGAGGAGCTCGCTGTGCTGCGGCTGACTTCCTCCCGAGCGGAGTCCCGACACCGGGTGGGGGTGGGGGTGGGGGTCGTCCCGGTTCTGCCGGCCACGACGGATGCTGAAGCTCTTCTTGGGAGTGATGGGTGGGGGGGCCTCGGCAGGGGAGTGAACCTGTACCACGGGCGGATGGGAGCGGTGCTCCTTGTCCATGCGCTCCGGATCTCGGCGCTTGCGAGTGCTGAACCGGCGGAGCAGCCCCGCAGCGGTGCCTTCTTTCTTCTGGAGATGGCTTGTCTTGGGCTCGGGCGGCTGCGGTGGCAGTTGCGGCTGTGTGTGCGGTTGGTGGTGATGGCCATGGTGCGAATGCTTGACCGCTTCTGGCGCGTCATCCTCGCCATGAGTGCGAGCCCGTGGTCTGGTTCGCCCACCCGTGGGCCTCTCACCCGGCATTTCGTATGCCGACGAGTTGGTATGAGCTGCCTGCGGAGGCGCAATTGCAGGCGGCGTGACATCGGCAGCCGCCTTTTCTCGTTGCTCACGGTCCCTTTCTTTCTCCTTCTCCTTCTCCTTCTCCTTCTCGCGGGATGCGCCAGCGCCGTGCGGGACCGGCAAGTCGCTCACCTCGCGGTCCTGCTTCTCCTTGACTAGGTAGTAGATGGATAACAGGGGGCTGAAAGCATACAGCGGATCGGAACCAAGTTGCAATGCTTCGGAGCTCGGAGCCGTCAGCGTGTCTCGGCTGTTGCCAGAGCTTCTTCGCTTGTAAAAGTCGAACCCGAATCCGCGTCGCTTCTCTGCGTCTCGGCTGGGCTGCACCACCTCCTTCTCGCGCTGGTAAGTCTTGACGGCTTGCTGGTACTCTTCGGAATCGATAATCTTGGTGAGCTGGGCCTTGATGTTCTCGGGAGAGCCAAAGTTGAAGCCCTGCATCGCGTGGATGACTTCTGGGTCCAGCGGCTGCGACAAAGGCTCCCGGGCGGGGAGGTAGTTGTCGGGTGGGCTGTTGAAGCCCTTGGTCATCCAAGGGTGGCCCATGACCTCGTGCATAGTGGCGCGCTGCTTGGGATCGGTAACCAGCATTCTGGACATGAGATGTTTGCACTCTGGCGGCTGGCAGTTAGCACGGACGAATGAGACGGACAAGTACGGAGATGGTGGTGAGCATACCGCCAGACAGCCAGCTGGGATAGTCGACGAGTCCTTTCTTAATCTTTGCGTGAAGAGCCGGCATGCTCTGATCGTCAAAGGGCACCTTTCCACAGACGAGGACATAGAGGACGATGCCGAAGCTCCAAACATCCACCTCGGGTCCCGTGTAGGCCCTGGCCTGCAAGAGCTCTGGTGCGGCAAAGTAGAGGCTGCCGCAAAAGGTCTTGAGATACCCGCGAGGGGCAAAGAGATTGCTCAGCCCAAAGTCAATGATCTTGATGTCGCCCGTCTTGCTAATGAGGATGTTCTCGATCTTCAGGTCGCGGTGGACAATGCTGTTGCGATGACAGTAGTCCAGGGCGCTTGCGATCTGGCGGCTAAACTTGCGAGCTTGCTTCTCCTTGAGCTTGCCGTGGGAGATGATGTAGTCAAGCATCTGGCCGCCATTGACGTACTCAAAAAGCATGTACCAGTGATAGTTGGTGCGCACCACGTCTCGCATGCCGCAGATGTGCGGGTGGTGGAGAAGGGTGACGATGGCGGCTTCGCGGGCGGTTCGAATTTCCTTGGACTGGTCTGCTCGCTCCTTGTCGGCGCGGCTTTGGTGGCCATCGTCGGTTGATCCGCGGGGGACAATCTTGCACGCGACCTAGAGCGGCAAGGCAAACAAGCGCAAAGGTTAGAAAAAGGGCTGGCGACGACGGCCTAAGGCAAAAAGCAACCAACCTGTTCGCTGCCATCTTCCTTACGGGCCAGCTTAACCTTGCCCATGCTCCCGGCGCCGATGGTCTTGCCCAAGATCCATTTGCCGGACTGGGTGGGGATGGTTGTGCGCGAGCGCGTCTGCCTGGACTGTTGCTGCTGTTGAGACGACTCCGAGTGGCCATGGGAGGCGGCGGCGGCGGCGTGGGAAGAGGCGGAGGGGCTGCCATTGCTAGGCAAGGCGGATGGCGGCATGTCGGGCTGGGGGCGACGGTGGCGGTGGCTGGATCGCCCGCTGCTCCGGCGATGGGGCGGATGGGAGGACGACGAGTCGTCGTCGTCGGCGCCCCTGGACGGGGGCGGTGGATGGTCGCGGTCGCGGTCCCGGCTGGAGCTGCGCTTGGAGTAGGATGCTGCTAAGTGCGAGGTCTCGTAGTCATTGTGGGGGAGGATATCCTGGATGGGGCGGCCCGAGGACGACGTGCGACGTTGACGGCGCTGGTGGTGGTTGTGGTTGTGCTGGTGGTGGGAATTGTGGCTGGGCGTTGGGGCGGCAGCAGCAGCAGCAGCAGCGGTAGGGGATGACCTAGACGGTGGACGGGCGGAGGCAGCGCCCGCGGAGGCCGCAGGAGGGGGGCGGGAGGAGCGCGCTGAAAAGGACCGGGATGGGGCCGCCGCGCGAGGCGAGTAGGAATAATCAGAGCTCGCCGCCGGAGAGGCCGCGGTGGTCATGACGAGCAAAGAAGGGGCAGAAGGGAAATGAGAGAGGGGACGACGGGGACGACGGGGACGACGGGGTGAGACAGCGAGAGCGAGCTGCCAGGCGGGAGTCGTCGTTCGTGGCGACGCGGCCGCTAAAAAGATGTACCGCTAGCGAGGACTCGACGTCGATGGGATGGCAAAGGAAGCGCCGCAGGGATTTGGGAAAGGGGAGAAGAGGGAAAAGAACTGCGAGATGCTCCAATGGCGCCGACAAAATGCTGCTCGATGCAAGGGCAAGCTACCAGAAGGAAAAGAAGGCGACGGGACCGACGCATGTACTGGCATTGTACGACGACTCCTCAGCAGCGGCCGACCCAACAGCTCGCGCGCCCCGTCGTCTGCTCTCGGTACCTCGATGTACCCGATCGGAGCCATTCGCTGTCCTTTTCCTTGTTTTCCCACCCCTCACCCCTTTCCCTCCATCATGGAGGACGGGCTCGGAAGGGCGGATAGGTAATTAAGGCGGGTAGGCTGGCCCAATGTCTATTGTACCTGTTGTTATGGGTGCCGAATGCGCCAAGGCCGGCCAGCCCCGGCGCCCTGATGCTTCGGTGGACCGTTTAGTTACTCCGTACGGAGTGGTGACCCTGGCGGGTACTAGTACCTACCACGTACTAACTTGCTCTGTAGTGGATGGCTGGGGGATGTTGGCCGCCGCAACGGCATTGCTTGCCCTGTGCTTCCGTCGACCCTCTGCCTCGACAAGGCACCTATCCCGTTGGTAGGCGATCAACTTGAAGGAGAGCAAGGTTTGCATTGCAACACCGGTCTCAAGCAACGCCTACGCCTACGGAGTACGCCGAACAGGTACATAGGGGCCTAACAAACATGGCCGGTTCGCGCTACGCGACGAGGCCCCTGGCATGAAGCCTATCCATATCACCACCAGCTGTGTCTGCGGACGAGTGGCCAGGCCGTCCCTCGATTCTTTTCACTGCGGCAGAAGAATTCCGTGTACGTCCAAGTACCCCATGAGGCAGAATAAGCTGGACTCGTCATGGTGCATTATGAGACAACTTAGACTCGATGAATGAATTGGATTGTATTCATCGCATGCACGTACCCTCGTGCCTGGGTAAGGTACAGTACTGCGCATGCACTCAGTTGATGCACCAAGTCATTCATGCGTGAACGATGCTGGCTAATATTACAGCCGTCCACCAACCACAGCTTCAATATCGGGGCTGATGCTAATAAAAGTAACTCATCTCTTAAACTCAACGCATTCCAACCAAGGGGGCCTTTACGGAGTATCTCGTACTGCTCTTGCACTCCCGTCGGCCAACCCATCCATGTTTGCTTTCTCGAGTCAGCTATCTCAAGCACAGCTGGAGCTACCTTTGCTGACGCCACGCAAAGTTCCGAGGTGCCTGCCTGCCGGTGGGGCGCTGAGGTGACGTGGTCAAGAAAACTTCTCGTCTTCGTCACCGGCCTCGTAATCAGAGACGAGCGAAAGAGCCCGGCCTTCTGTCACCGCTGAGCCACCGTCGGCGTCGGCCACCAGCAGTATTTGTATGATAAGAGAGAGTACTCAACGCAAATAGGTCTTTGGATGCTTGCGCATGACCTCCCTTCGCCATGACTAACGAGCCCACTCGTTGAACTGACAGGCCTACTAAAAGTGGGGAGGCTGTGGCAAAGTCGCCCAAAAGAGAAAGGATGACAATGTGGTCGGGTACATAGAGAGCACTTACAGATAAGTGACCACGTTCTACACCCTCGCTTCCCAATAAGAGTAGAAATTCTTACTCTCTGCTTCGGCCTGCGGTGCTGAATGTTTAGTTACCAATCCGGCACTGAGCATGCTGTCGACAGTGCTTGGTAGCCAGGCAATTTGGACTTTATGTACTATCTAGATATGTACAAGCTACCTGGAACGCCGCCTTTCCTCTTTAAGCGACAGCGCGCCACACCCCCAACTTTTGGTAGGTATTTAAATCGTAGGCTCGTCAAGCTACCGAGTCAGCTTAGGTACCTAGGTAGGTATTCAAGACGCTTTCTTTGCTTCCACGCGCCGGCCCCATACATAACTTACTCCGTACCCGGCGCATGGTCAGACGTCGATCGCCTTATCGATAAGACAAACCATCCGCAAAGCTCCCGCCTCGGCCCAGAGACCCAGTCAGCCACTGCAAAGAGCTTTACAATCCGCCACCCGCAGCATCAGCCTTCGACAGCGTCCATCCGAAGCCCATGGAGCTGTCCTGTCTACCCACCCGGCCCTCATGTCCCATAAGCGATCCCGCGCAGCGTTCGAGGCAGACAATCACGCTCCATTTGCCGTCTTCGGTACTCCCCTCCCGGACGAGGCCGAGACCCGCGACGATGGCTCCTTTCTACCTCTCTGGAAGCAGGAGGTGAGGGACGACAAAGGGAGAAAGCGCTTACACGGCGCCTTCACCGGAGGTTGGAGCGCAGGGTAGGTAGACAGACACTCTGGCAGGGGCTCGAGGCGCCGGCTCATATTTGCACTGCCAGTTATTTCAATACCGTGGGCTCCAAGGAAGGCTGGACACCGTCTACCTTCAAGTCGAGCCGCGCAAACCGACACCAAGATGGCGCTGTACCGGCGCAGCAGCGCGCCGAGGACTACATGGACGACGAGGATCTGGCGGATGCTGCCGAGGCACAAATGCTCCACACCACCCAGGCGTTTGCCGGGCTGGGCTCGTCTGCGCTAGAAGACGCTCCTCTAGGAGGACTCGGTCGACTGCTCAGGGCCCAAGGCGACACAATGGGTCTCCAGCTCTTGCGACGAATGGGCTGGAAAGACGGCCAGGGCATCGGTCCCAAGGTTCGACGGGGCGCACGACTGGACTTGGATCGTGCTTCAGGCGACGAAACATATTTCTTCGCTCCCGACAATGCGCCCATGATTCGTTTCGTTCGCAAGACCGACCGAAAAGGGCTCGGGCATCGGGGAGAGACTCGGCTCCAGGGTCTAGGTCACGAGAGAGACGCAAATGGCGACAATGGCGATTACAGTCACATGTGGAATAAAGGAAGCGCAGATACAGGGCCTTGCTCCAACATTCTTTCCGAGGGACAAGTAAAGCAGCAATCAGCGCGAGGCGCATTTGGTGTGGGAGTCCTCAATGACACTGGCTCCGACGACGAGGATCCTTACGACATTGGCCCCAAAATCAATTACAACCGGACCATCGGAGGGCAGAAAAAACGGAAGAATAAGAAGGCGGCATCGGCTGTTGTGAACCCGGCTCTAGCAAACGCACCAAAGTTCGTGCCCAAGACTGCCAGAGCTGGGAACGGCCTTCGTCGTTGTCACGACGGGCGACTACCCCTTGATGGGTTCGCCTTGGCCAAGCTCACCGAAGACTTTGCCGCCCTGTTTTCTCAATATGCCCCCCCGCCTATTCCGTCCGGATGGAAATCGGCAAGGGACCCATCGGCGACCCCAGACACGTCGCAGTACGTGTCGACGGCAGACGCAGCCAAGGCTTCCAGCCTCGACCCCCGGTCTAGAGCAGCCATGCTCGGCGAAAAGTCTCTTCCCGGCAAGTCCGTCTTCGATTATCTGTCTGCCTCGACGCGGGACAAACTCGCAGCGGCTTCTGGGAAAAGCAACCTCCCTCCAGCACGGGGCGAGGTCCTGGCGCACAACGCCGGGACGGAGGAGGAGCGGCTTGGGAGGCTGTGGGACCGGGTTCCCAGGCTGGATCGCAACTCGGCGGCAGCGGCACTATCGAGGGTCGCGCGAGGACCATATGCAGATGATGACTTCAAAAGGGCGCGATATCGACGCTACCTGGAACATCAGTCGAACCCCGGCCTGCCTCGTCCGGAGAAGACGGAGGAAATGATTGACGACGATTTTTTACGGGAGATGAGCGAGTTTTACGAATGCGCGCGCATATTCAAGCCAATGACGGGTTTCATGGCCTCTCGCTTCACGACTTCCAAGGCGGCTTCGGACCCATCAGGGGGTGCAGCCGGCGCCGAGCTACCCTCCAAGCCGGAGCCGAAAGTGGTGGATACGGCGGAGGAGGCAGCTAGACTGGGCATGTTTGGACACTTGACGCGCTCAGTCGAGCAGTTCTTTCCGTCTGCGTTGCTGTGCAAACGGTTCAACGTCAGGGCGCCGGCGCACTCGCGAGCAGATTGGGAGGCTGAGCAGAGGTCCACCGGAAGCACAGCCGAGGTTTGGTCGGTGCCTGGGAGCACGGAGCAGCAGTCGCAGCGAGGTGCATCGTCGACTTCCGCCAGTGGTGCTGTGCCAGCTCAGGGAGAGGCCCAGGGCTCGCCGGCAGGCCCGGTGCGGGAACCAGAAGTCGGCGAGGTTGATCCAGGGAGGAACGAAGCTCTCGAGGGGGATACGGCCAATGCGGGGGTGCTGAGGGCCATATTTGGCGATGACGACAGCGAATGAGGAGCTGTGTCGCGGGAATCGGAGAGTTAAATGCAGGACCGCGAGCCTCTTCCATGTCCATGCAGCAGCGTGAAAGCAAAGGCAATTTGAATAGGCAAGGCCATGTCCAATTGACGGACAAATATTGGCGGCAAGCGGAGCCTCAAGCTCAAGCAACCGAGGAAGCTACCCTGTACCGGCGTGTGGCGTTCCCAGGAGCTTGTCAGTGTCATGAGTACCAACCGGGGCGATTTCATGCTCTTACGAAGTCGGTACTCGACGATGAAAAAGCCAATTAATTACAGTACAAACGTACATGGGGTTGCGGGAATGTATTGTCGCCTTTGGAGGCGTCGACGAGCTTCCGCAGCAGCGGTCAAACTCGAATTGATTGGTGTGGAGCTGTCCAGTATCGCCAGGCGCGTGCACGCAAGTACCTGCAAGTGTCAGGGGAGTGCTCAGCGCCTAATCGCAGCCAGCCTGCAAGTATCTATGCAGGCTCAACGCGGCTAGCGGTACCTGGCCAGGCCCAGAGCAACGGCGGGCCGGCAGGTTCCTCTACCGCGCGGGTACCGCCGCGTGCCGCCCCGTGTCTTCGCCTCTAATCAAATCACTTCGTCAGCCCGACCAGCCAACCTGCATCTCATCTCTCACACCCCCCTATCGAATCGAATCACACCTTGACGAGAACCGCAAGCAGCTTCGACTTGTCGCCGCTCTGCTCCCATCTCATGTCGCTTTCCTGGCGCCCGCAAGTACTGTGCCGTGCCGTGCCTGCCCGAGGGCCTTCTCCGCTGCTGCTTTTGCCTGTCTTGCTCGTCTGACCTCGTTCGCCTGACCCAAATCCTCTCCGCTCCCTCTCAGATCGGTACGCCACTGCGATACCCATTCCGACCCATCTTCAGCCTCCTTTCTTCCTCCTCCTCGTCGGACCGCCGCGTCCGAGACCCGCCCTCGAACCGCCGCATTGTCTGGAACGCAGGATCCTCGCAACGGACCGTCTGAGTCCTCCTTGTCCGAGTTGGAGATAGCTGAGGCACTCGAGGCTCAGCATCGCCACCCCGCACACGACAGCGACTCGGAGCCGCCGCAGTATCCTGCCTCTGAGGCCTCGTCACCTCCCCGGCCGCCACCCTTCTCGTCGCTCTTCGCCCCTTTCCCCGACCCCGGCGGGCCCTCGGGCAAGGCAATCGCCCACGACGCTTGTGCGTCTGCATCGCTCGCCGCCGCCGTCGCTGCCGCGCCCGCCTACACATACAAGCCGAGCCCCGAGTCGGAGCCCTTTGATCCTGATCAGGCCGCTGCCAGGGCCTTTTACGACCCCGTCGCCGAGATCAAGAGCGTCCTTCCCCGCGATACAAAGGGTGAATCGAGTCGCAAGGACTACGACGCCGAGCCACCGCCTGCCTACTCAGAGGGCGACAGTCCTCTCCAGACCTTCACATACGTCATGTCGGCCGCCGGAGGAGCCTCGAGCATCATCACCCAGGTCCAGCAGGGCGGGCCGCCCATCAACGCCATCGGAGGTGAGTCGTCGAACAAACTCGCGTCAGCAAGTGAGGCAGACGCTGACTCTTCCTCTCTTCTCGGCACGCTCAAGATGTCGGCGCCGACGAAGCTATCGCCATGGACCTGCGGTAAGCTACCTCTCAATCGCCATGTCGAGAAAGGGAAATCCATGGACGAGCTGACACTGCGACGCCCAGGGGTACTCGATTTGTACTCTCGCGGGACGAGCTGCTGACACTGCCCGAATTCGTGCTCCTCTCTCTCTTCCCCAACGGTCTCTTTCCCGAGGGCCACATGAACGGCTTTTCCGAGAACGACGCTGTTCAGGTCGACGTGAGTGCTCGCACACCAGAGTGACCCGATGGCGCCGCCTGGAGAATCAGCGGCTGACCCAGTGAGAATTCTAGTATGATCCAGCTTCGCTACAGTACATGCTCGACTTTTTCCGCAACGTGGCCCAGTCGATCCCGTCGGAGCCATCGCCCGCCACATCGCAGGACGGCGAAGCGATGCCCGTGGATTCTCTTGGGTCGCGTGACGATTCCTCGAAGCGTGCGGGCATCATCGTGTTGAGGGAAGACCTCGACTTTTACGCGATTCCACCCCGCGCAGATATCAACCAGCCGGACATGATCAAAGTTAAGCGCGCCGCGGCTCTTGCGCTCCAGCAGCAGGATGGCATCTTTTCTGGGCTGAAGCGAAGCGACGAACCGGGAACCACCGAGGCCCATCTTATCGAGATGCTGACCGCAGGGTATGGCTCGGGTTTCCTTGCCCGTTGAGACAACCAAAGGCTGACTGGAATCCACTGCAGGGGCTTCAACCACGACGACCGCTGGGGTCACCGAGCAGGCGAGCCTAACAAGGCCGTCATCTGCAGTCTGGCCCTGGCCCGGCTGCGCAGCGACATACGGGGCAACGACATGGGGACGAGCGCGGTGGGCATGGCGCAAAAGCTGCTGCTCTTCTGGAGGAAGCCGGCGCGCCGCTGCTGGTGGGAGGGCATCGAGCTGGACAACATCGAGGGCGTCGAGGGCACGCTCAAGGTGTGGATCCGGCGCGTGTGGACGCTGGAGATGAGCGTCATTGGGCTGCGGTGACAGCATTCTTTTCGGCCTGCCTCGGAGCGAGGAGGGAGACGGTGGAAGGCATAGGCAGCGCGCGGCGGAGCATTTGATTGGACTGGCGGGCGTCATCAGGGATACAAACGGGCTCGAGGGGCTCTGGACTGACTGGGCGATTCCCTTTGGTTGCAGTAATACCTCGTATGCGCAAACACACACACACAAACTGTAGCTAGGTAGCGCCTTGTCCACAGCAAACCACTTTCTTCTTTTGTGCCGTGCAGCTTCACATACATGAGGAACGTCCTGCACAAAGGGGAGCCGGTGTCCTTGATTAGTTTATCCGCGGCCTGCTGTCGCTTCCATGCTCGAGCAATACTGCCGCTGAAAGGCGTCCATCCGCTCCTCTGGTGAAGCTATCTCCGACTGGGCTAGACTGCCGAGGGGCACAGAGGGGAAGCGGCTGCGGCCGGCGCACAGGGAATCGCCGTGAGTGGCTGGCCGTGGGCGGTGGCGACGAGCGGGTTGAGCTTGGCGCGGCTCTAGGGCTGACGACGAGGTCGCTTCGCGGGGAAGGGCGGTGGAGGGCGGTGGTTTGTGTAGACGACGTTTGGGTAAAAGCTGTGATGGATAACTGGGTTTACTTTTGCCGGTGGTGGTGGTGGTGGTGGTGGTTGTTGTTGTTGTCTGCCGCGGCTGTAGTTCCGTCTGTCTGTCTGCAGCTCGGTCGACTCTTATATCTTCCGCCTCGCTCGCACCTTTTTGGAGACGTAAGTTGGCTGCATAGAGGGGAGAGTGTGCTTGGAAACGGAGCGCCTCGCGATATCGTTTGGCTCGCAGCAGGGACACGGCTTCATCGCAGCAACGGAAACGATCCCTCCTGGACAAAGACGGGGAGGAGAGAGGACATCCCCCATTCCGCCGCGTCCTGCTGCCACCTCCACCGGCCCTCCATTGCCCCAGAGGTACATCGCAAAGAGACGACAGACGAGGCCCTCGCGAAGCAGCGAGCAGGAGAGCGGCATCCTGACCACGATCCGCGTCTCACCGCATGGCCTCGCTCCGCACCGCGGCGACGGCCGCCCTCGCCGCCCTCATCGCGGCGGCACCATCATCAGCCCAGAGCAGCAGCGACGGGTGCCCCAACACGCTGCGCGTCGTCGACTACGCGGCGCCCGTCGCGGCGCCCGGCTGGGCGTACCGCCTGGCGGCGCGGGGGCTGCGGCGGCCGCGCAGCCTCGCCTTCGACGCCGCCGGCGGGCTGCTCGTCGTGGACGTGGGCGCGGGCGTGCTGCGCCTGGCCGTGGAGCAGGATCGCGGGGCGACGTGTGTTGTCCTGGGCGAGGCGAGGACGGTGGTGAATAGTACCCAGGTGAGCCGGCTCTCTACTTTTGCGCCTCTTGTCCTCCTGTCTCCTTTTTCTTCCTTGCCTTTGTAACTTCGGGACTTGGTTTCCGGAGGATATGGGGTCAGAGGAGGGGCCGACATCTGCTCTGTATTGGTTGCGTGGTGTATCCGTAGGCATATGTGCATGTAAGAGATGGGAAGGCCGTCTTGCTTTTCTTCGTCGCCCTCGAGCGCAAACCCCTTTCTCGTATTCGCGACACGAGTTGGAATTCAGAGCAAGAGCAACACATGATACGGCTCAGGGGTCTCCCACAACGACTAACACGCACCTCACGCGCCCCAACCGCAGCTCACCCACGGCCTCGCCCTCTCCACCGACGGCAAGACGCTCTACGCCTCGTCCGCATCCTCCGTCGTGGCCTGGCCCTACGACCCCAGCACCGGCAAGGTGACGGGCCCCAACCGAACCGTCGTGGCCAACCTGTCGTCCTCGGAGCGCGGCGAGGCGACGACGCGCACGCTGCTGGCCTCGCGCAAGCGGCCCGGCACGCTCGTCGTGTCGCGGGGCGGCCTGCTCGACGACGACGGCGACGCGGGCGCGCGCGCGAGGGCCAGCGGGCATGCGCAGATCCGCGCCTTCGACGTGGGCGGCCTCGGGCCCGACGACGAGGCAATCGACTTTGCAGGCGGCCACGGGCGCCGTGGCAACGGCAGCGTGCTTCTCGGCTGGGGCCTGCGCAACGCCGTCGGCGTGGCTGAGCATCCGGCCCGCGGCGGCATCTGGTCCGTGGAGAACTCCATCGACGAGCTGACGCGCGCCGGCCGCGATGCCCATCGCGACAATCCGGCCGAGGAGCTCAACTTCCACGGGCGCCTCGACGGAAACGGCGCGCCGGACCGGGACGGCGGTGGCAACTACGGCTTCCCGCTGTGCTTTGCCGTCTGGAACGCCACCGCCCTACCGGACGCCGGCTCGCTCCGCACAGGCGACCAGTTCGCCGGGCCCGAGGCCGCCGCCAGCAGGGTGTCGGACGAGCAGTGCAGCAATGACTATGTCGCGCCGCGGCTGGTCTTCCAGGCGCACTCGTCGCCCCTTGACATCAAGTTCAACGGCGACGGATCGAGAGCCTTCATCTCCTTCCACGGCAGCTGTCAGTCCATTTCTTCCCGTCTTCCTACCTCTTCCTTATTGGCGTGCTCCTCCCCCTCGCCGCGTCTCCCCTGTCTCTCTTTTCCCTTTGCGCAGCGTCTTTGACTGATACGCATACTCACGCGCAAAAAGGGAACCGCGAATCCCCCGTCGGCTACCGCATCGCTGCCGTTGCCTTCAACAACGCCACGGGCGAGCCTTCGGCCCCGCGCGACAGCACCAACGCTGCCGTGGACGTGCTCTCGGCCCCCGACCTGGCCAGCTGCCCGGACGGCTGCTTCCGGCCCGTCGGCCTCGCCTGGGACGCCAGCGGCCGCCTCTGGTTCAGCTCCGACACCACGGGCGAGATCTTCGTGCTCCACCAGAGCGGCGACGGCGGCGATGGGGCCAATGTCGGCGCACCGTTGCTTGCCCCCGCCTTGGCTGCCGTGCGGGCGGCCGTGCTGTGCGCGGTCGTCGTGGCTGTCTTTCTCGCGTGATGTGGACAGACACAACTGGGCAACGAGAAGAAAAGTGTTATGATTCTTGGGCATATCCGGGTTTGGCGATGGATAGTAGGGGGGTGTTAGCGGGCACAAAGTCGACAAAAAGGGCGTGGTATTGTGTCGACTCCGCCCCGAATAACAAGTGATGAACATCGCAGAGATGAGAGATACCTTTCACAGCGCGTCGCCAGCCAGAATACGATATATTCACGTACCTGAACTAGTTAACCATCCATCAGGCCGTCACGTCTGATGCAGCCTTGCTTGCACCTCGGGCGCCTACTCAACCGTAACGCGATATTCACCCAGCACCGTTTCGCCTTAGCCACGGCAGGCTCAGTCCGTAGACTCATGGCACCCCCCTCAACCGTGCTCAAGTTGCCTCCGCGTGATCGTGCTGGTCCTACCGACAGCGGTCGAGCCAGCAGATGTCGTGTCCACGGCGTACCGCGTTTCTTTGCGTCTATTCGCCTCAAAACGCCTTGCAATCGATGCCGATAAAGGTTGGCAAGGTAAGAACTGAAATCAAAGGAAGCAAAGGGGCTCCTTTTTCTCTACTCCTCGATGGTCTTGACGCATTCCCACTCGCCCCGGAGGTTCTCCTTCCACAGCGAGACCTTGTTATCCGCCCCGCTGACGGCCAGGACGTTGCCGCTGAGCGACCAGGAGACCCGCCACATGGCCGCGTCAAAGTTGAGGACCTTGCAGTCCCACTGGCCGGAGCCGGACGCATCCGACGCCCAGATGCGCACCGTCTTGTCTTGGGAGGCCGAGGCAATGTACGACTTTTGGAGCAAGGTGGGGGACCAAGCCACGTCGCGCACCCAGTCGGTGTGGCCCGTGAGGGGCTCGCGCTCCTGCTTGTACGACTGCGAGGCCGGGTCAAATGCCCAGATCCTGAGCGTGTTGTCGGACCCGCCTGTGACGAAGCGCCGGTTGCCCACGGAGCCCATGCCGGGGGCGCTGCTGAAGATGCTGCCGGGCGACGTGGCGGGGGCCCACGAGACCGAGTTTACCCCGAGGCCGTGGGCCGGGAAGATGGTGTGGTCGAAGCTGTTGTCCTTGAACTCGAGGACACTGACGTTGCCATCTGAAGACGCACAGGCGAGGAGGCAGCCGGCCTCGTGGGGGGCCCAAGCGACGATGTTGACCGAGGCCTTGTGGAGGGGGAAGTCGTAAATTCGCTGCCACTGGTTCTGGGGGCCCTGCTCTTTCCAGATGAAGACCTTGCCATCATATCCCGCCGAGGCCAAGATGTTGCCGTATTTTGGATGCGCCCAGGCGATGCACCAGACGGCGCCCTCGTGGCTAGATCCGCGCTCGGTCAGCGAGGACTTGTATTCAAAGCAGCGCGAGGCCCAAGGAGGCGACGGGGCCTTACCCCTTGAGCGTTTCTACCAGGCGCTGTGTGTCGCCCTCGATTTCGAAGATCTTGATGGTACGGTCGCTCGAGCACGTCGCCAACTTCCGGCCGTAGTAGTCAAGGACAGCATCGTGCTAGAAAAGCCTGGGTCAGCAGCGTCCAGCAGTGGCTGGCAAGACATGGCTCGCGGGCCGAAGCCGAGATGGAGGGGGAGGGGATGGAGAGGCAGCGTACAATCATGTCATCGTGGCCGGTGTTTGTAATGACCTGCGCCGCCTGGCCAGGGGTGTTAGCTGCTGGGGGTGTCTATTTCGCGAGGCGACGCCTCTCCCTGCATTGGGCCGTACCATCTTTCTTGAGCCGAAGAGCGTCGACGAATCGACGCGGGAAGCGGTAGGAAGCAGGAAGGTGGGGATGGGTTGTGAGAAGTAAAGGAGGCGAAGGGGATGGGAAAGTGAGGTGGGCGGAGTAAAAGGAGGAACGACCTTATTCCGTGGAGCTGAAGCTATCTTGATGATGGACTTGAGGCTTGGTCTTGGTGACAGCTGGCGGGCTTGAGCTGCACGTGACGCGGTGGCTCCACTTTGCCCCAGCTGGGAGTTGGCTTTTGAGCCTCTTCAACTTGCTGCTGGGACAGAGTGACCACGTCTCCTCTTCTGTATCCACGCCATACCACATGTGCAGTGCGCAAGAGATTTAAAGCCACAGGAGTGAAGCGTTTTATTGCTCTTCAAAGTTCCGAGCGGTACTTCCTTGACTTGCCGGACATTGCTATTGTGAGGAAATCACTGGGTTGTGCAGGCAAAAGTGAAGTGACACTTCAACAGATGACCTTGACCGCCGAGGAGCTTCACGCTGAGCGGTACTTCAGTATCGTGATCCCGGAATTCTACGTTGGGATACGTGGCAGCTGCATCATCTTACACCCACTTTCAAGTCGATGAAGTAAAGCCCCAGAGACAGGGGAACTCTTGAGAAGACGCCTCTTTGGCAGCCTTAAGATCCTTGAAAATATATCCTGTTGGGCCAAAAGGCCAAGCCGCAGCTGTCGGTGGACTGCCATGGCGTTACTGAGCTCCAAGACGCATGAGGTCCCGCGAGGGACCCAGCCTACTTGTATCTTAATACCAGCTTCGTGTTGGAAGAGACGAGCCTGAATCCCTACACACGGAGACCGTCGGCACACCAACAGCATGCAAAGAGTAGCCAGGTGGATGCAAACCCGGGCTGAATCTCCCCTTCACTTTCTAATAGACATGGAAAAGAGAAGCTTGCTTCCCTCTTTCTTGTAAGGGAAGCTGGTGGGATATTTCGTGGCACCAACACCAGAACTTGGATAAGCCGACATCACTCAGCCCAGCGAAAGACTGCAGCATCACATTCTAAACTCATCGGCATAGTAATGAACTAGACTTGAAACTCGAACATTCCGCCTTAATTACGCTTCCCTCCTCATCAAGGATGCCGCCTGACTCGAAAACGCTTGAAAGACACTGCGAGACTGAAGGCGCCATGTCGCACTCCCTTCCAAAAACAAAGTTGGTTAGCAGGTTTTGCATCGGCGAGATCCGGGGCTGCCAAGAAAAGCAAACGCTCGAGCAACACAGGCGCCGGGGTTGAACGATGGTTCGTCGTCATCTGAAACTCGTTCGGAGGTCGCTGGGAGATTTCGGCCGAGCCCGCTTGGCATCTGAAAGCCTCGCTCGCGAACGATATATGTATCTCACAGTAGTCAGTTCAACTTTGTCTCTCGGCACGTGGAGGTGCAACCAAGCCCAGTGTTGTTGGCTTGAGAATGCAAGACCAGTGCTGTCCATTTGTTACTATTCAATGTTGTAGCTTTGGGCTTGTTGCTTTGTAAACAACTTGTAAACAAGGTTGCCCCCTAAAAATAGCGCCTACGACTCTCGGAGCCGACTCGGGGCCCGGATGTCATTACCTAGTGCCCGTGCAAGGCAATGCAATGACGGTGGCCAGCTCAAGTTCCCTGATCCTGACCTCGACTAATTAGGGTAATACCGGCATGGCGTGGGATTTGCCTCTCTGCCTCTCTCGGCCTCCCCACCGCCAGGAAAACATTACCAAGCTGATGCTGGGCGAGTCATTCAAGGAAGTTGTGGCAGGTGGTCGTCATGCTAAAGCACTGGCCCATGCAACGGGCTTGCCGGTCACGAGGTCCCGCCCGCCTCCATGGGATGCCTTCGTACCGAGTGGATGAGATTGATGTGTTGAGAGTGTGTGGAGGGCGTATAAATGCAACCCAATTCCTCAACCCAGGGACACTATCACTGTTTTCATCAACCCTCTTTCTTGTACATTTCTAATTTAGACAGCTATTGCTTCGACTTCCAACATGTTCAAGACGTCTGCACTCCTTGCGCTCTTGTCGGCCTCATATGGCTCGGCACAGTCGGGCTCCTGTCAACAGCCCAGCGGCGACTTCAACATCACCTCGTTCCAGCTGTACCCCGAAAACCTCGACTTTGACCCGAGCAGGTGCCGCATTTACATGGGGTAAGAATGAGCTTTCAAGTATGCAGCCAGCATCACCAGCCGCTGACCCTCACCCACAGTGTTCTGTACAACGCCACCATCGCCACCTATGACATCGCACAGCAGAGAGTGCTCGACGAGGTCATCACCATCCCCAACATCAGCGGTGATCCTCTGATGCACGCCAGCGGCATCCAGTATGACGACCGAAACGACAGGCTCTCCGTCATGCTCAACGCCGGCGCCGCCTTTGATACTCAGGGTGCAAACACCGCGGGCGACAACAACGTCATGAGCTACGACCTCAAGAGCAACACGATCCGCTTCGTTGTCAACCTCAGCAACTACTCCGATCCCGAGTTCAGGGGTTTCCAAGACATGGAGCACGACAACGAGGGCAACATCTTTGTCATCGGGACGTTTGGTGGCAGCGTATTCCGCATCAGCGCCGATGGCAGAAACGTGACCCAGTGGTGGCGGGCTTCCAACTCGTCTGACAGAGGCCTCACCGGCGTTGCCAAGTTGAACGAGACGACGCTGCTGATCACCGACAACAACGACTCGCAGGTGTACCGCTACAGCATGACGGAGAGCAACCAGCGCGTCCAGGTTGTGCTCTCAGGCGGCGCCAGTATCAACCCCGACCTGGACGGCATCTACTTGCCGCCCATGCACAACGGCACCGTCCTGCTCGTGTCTACCCAGCTCAACGGCACAGTTGTCCTTCGTAGCAACGATGGGTGGGCCACCGCCGACAGGCTCGGGGTCATCCCCGATAAGTTTGCCGACGAGCAGGGATTCACCACCGCCTCGGTCGAGGCCGGAGGACGAATCCTGTCCATCCACGAGTACTTCGCCGACAGCGACGGCACCAAGCCCGGCAACAGGTCTCAGTTCCCCGTTGCCGACATCACCGATAGCGTCGAGGAGCTGCTTGCTGGAAACCCATCCGGTGCTAAGGGCACGAGCGCCAGCGCTTCCGGCGTCCCGGCCTCTCCGGAGGGCGGCTCTGGGAGAGCGATTGTGTCTTGGGGCGCCCTTGGTGCCGCTGCTGGTCTGGTTCTCCTGCTGATTTAAGCAGACGGCGGCGGCCTCCTGAAAAAGTACAAATGTGTCCGCAAAGATTACATGGGAATTAACTTTAATATTTAGTGAATATTCATCAAGACACGCATTGTACGATATCGTGAAGGAGCCCGCAGACGGCTTTCGATTCTATACCTGTAAACTGTTATCTGTCCCAGACTTGGCTGCGCTTCGAATGGTCGTGGTGGTTGCCACTTCGGGATGTGCCATGAGCGCAGTACCAAATACCAGGCTGTGACCATGATAAAGCCTATCACCAGGTGTCGATGCGCTGCCAATATCGTTGCTGAAATGGATTCTTGCGACTCCCGAAGTCTCCGAGACGCGCTGCACGTGATCTGCCTTTGCAGCGGTGAACATGTGTGCGGCAGCCCACCCGCCCCGGAATATCTAGGTTCCGCCCGCCGAACCTCGGGCCAGCCGGTTGACGCATGCCGCCATGGGATCGCCATCTCGCTTACATTGCCTACCTATTACTCCCTCGACAAAGACGATCCACGGACACCCGCCTACAAATACTATATTTGGAGAATACAGATCCGGATGAAATCTTTCTGCACACTTCAATCTCAGCTCAGCTCTCCCTCGACCTGCCCTTGGACCTCTTCCCTCTTGCGCAGTCCCTCGTCGACTCTCTACTCGAGCTCTCACAACTCCTCCCGCCAGGCGATCATGGCCGAGGCATCCTGCAGCGGCGGCACGCCCTTTAAACGCCTCATCGACCACCAGTCCCGTGATGTCAGCCATCATCAGGATCGGCTCGTCGATCGCTCCGGAGTCAACGGTCGCGCTGTAAGTAGCACTCGTGCGAGCCGTCTGTTCGATTCCATTTCTCCTCTCGATCCCAAGGGCTGACTCTCTTACCACTTCCCTGCAGTCTTTCCGATCTGTCCATGGCCATGCCGCGCCTGGCCAGCAGAGCTTTGACGCCTTCATGAACGAGCCCCCGTCAGCGGCTTCCGCCTTCTCCACCCTACCTCTCGACCCCGCTAGTCGTCTCGCCGTCCATGCCGCCGCCCTGCAGTCGCCGCTCGCGCACACCGAATTCGTCCATGCGCGCGCATCTCCTGCTCCCGATGTGAGTGGATGGGCCGCCGACTTCGGCCGTTTCTCCAGCCAGCAGCAGATGCGCGCCGCCGCGCCCGCACCGGTCATGCATATGGCGCAGCACCAACAATCTCCGTCGTCCATGCTCAACTTTAGAACTGCGTTTGGCCAGCCTGGGCCGGCTTTTGCGCCCTTGATTGACCGTGGCAGCATGGCTCCGGCGCCACCCCTTGAGTCTGGCTTTGACCAGGAAATGGCCCGGTGGATGGCGAGCCACGGCGGAGGCAGTATGTCCGATGTGGACGCCGCCATGGATCAAATGGCCCGCGAACTCGAACTTAACGAGTCGGCCCTCCCGGAAACTTCGATGGCCGAGGCGGCCACAGAGTCCTCCGTCGCTCAGAAAACCGCGCCCGCCACTCACTTTACCGACCTGGAGACCCCCGAAATCAGCAAGCTCTCCCTACGAGATCCCGCCACGGGTCCTCAAGCCCCCCTTCATGCGCCGCAGGTGCTAGAGTCAGTACAACAGGACCAACAGGGGGCCGACGACACAGCGGCGCTGGACAAGTCGGCTGTCTCCGAGGCCGCGGAGAGGCTGCTCGAATCGGTGCAGCACGAGGACGGGGAGAAGTGGCAGAATTCCGTGTTCCTGTCGCTCATGCGCGACTTTCGAGACGGGCGCAAGGACATTGTCGAGAACGAGATACGGCAAACGGCCGGCCCCAGTGGCGGCGAGGCTGCCGAGAATCAAGCCTTGACCTGAGTCAAGAGACCGCAAAGTTAAAGTTGACGACAGGAATCCCCGTCCGCGGTGGCAACCGGAGAGATGGTTCTCTAGCCGAGTGTCGCGCGATACAGCCCTTTGCGTCCTGCGCGAGGCCTCTCAGCGAGACTGCCTTTTACTGATGAGACTGCTCCCTTCCGCGGGGACGATGAAAGGAGATCAGGACGGCGGCGATCGTCTTCCATCGCTCATCACGGAGCCGGTCCCAACCCGGCTGAGCTGGCAAAGACCATCAAAGGGCGAGCCCTCTCCTACCAGACGGCAAACGTAGCCCTTCACAGGGAATGGCCATTACCCGCGACTCCAAGATTGCGGAGGCGACGATAGATGTACCGCGTTATCTGTGTATATTTCGCGCGATTTTGATTACCCCATGTACAGTACAATGGCCAGACACTGCAGCGTGCCTGGCGCACTTGAATATATACGGACATCGTGGCCAAGTATCAACCTCGACCAGTGTAAAAACATCCCTAGACGAACCAGAACTTTCCTTTCTCTTGACCCAACGCCCCTCGACTCGCGTCTCCTATCGCGCGATGCAAGCCCTCACTCTTGCCACCCAAGGCACATCAGAACATAGAATTAAGCAAAAGCTCAAGCAAAATTCGGAGCAATCATGTCAATTTTTGGTAAATGAATGCCGCCAGCGGAAAGGCAATCAGGGGTGAAAACGGACGGAGTGATGAATGGCACGAAAACAAAGGTCGGCCAGAGAAATGCATGAGATGCGAGACAACTCGAATCAAGCAAAAATGAAGACGAACACTGGACGTTGTGACTCCATCTCCTGCTTGTTTACGCGTAGATCTGTAAAAGTGAAGGTTGACATTTCTGAAGAAAACCTGTCCATCTTCACATGAATTATACAAAGACATAATTGAGGGAATAGGGCCCTAGTCGCCCGATGGTGATGCCTCGTGACTAAATCGGTACAGCCCCATGGCCCTGGATGCGCCCCGTTGAACCAAACTCCAAATAATCTGTAGAAAAAGCAGCAGCTCCAAATATTTTCGCCCCCGGCCGTTGGTGAACGCGCCGTTTACGTCGACCACCAGAGACACCCGCAGTCGGTGAGCTCGAGGACTTCTCTCGACAGAATTTCATTGGGGTACGACCGCTTGCCGAAGGCGTGCCGCTCTCGTTCGCGCTGGGCGATTTGCTCAGACGGGTTCTTCCAGTTCTCCATAATGACTGTCTCGATGATGTTGCCGTTCTGGTCCTTCAGATCCTCCTTCTCACGCCCGCCTTCCTTGATCACGACTTGACGGCAGCGAGCCGCGGCACTGGGATCATCACACCAGCGCCGCTCGAGGAATTTGACGACTTTTGGATAGGCCGGCATGGGAACGGGCCCATCGTCTGGTGTCGCATCTGCTATGTCAGTAGCCATTGTCGGGCTCGCCGTCCTTGACCTGGACGCCGTCGGGATGCTGACGTTTTGGCTGGGGTAGATGAAGATTTCCAGGGTCGTGTCGGGCCACGTGCATATCCAGGGTTTGTCTCCATCCTTGGCCCCTATATTCTTCCGTTTGAACTTGGGGGGGAGACCGGGGCCACCACCGTCGGGTCCTGGAAAATGCTCGTCTCGTTTCGTCTTCGTACCGGGGTTACCGGGGAACTTGTCCTCGGCGACAATGACCGTCTTTTCGTACGTCACCTTCAGCCACCAGGCGGGACCACGTCCCTCTTCGAAAGCGTCGGTAACCAGAGTGAGAGGTTGAGGGTCCGGGACGTTGGGGGGCTGAGCGCCCCAGATGAACTTGGAATTGGAAGCGTTGATTGCACTCAAGGTAAGCTCGTAGTTTTTTGTGTCGGGGGCGTTGGGAACAGCGGCGACATTCATCGAGTAGAATCGGAAAGGAATGTCGCAACTCCACGCCTGGGCCTGCGTCGGGTTCAGGAAGCACGATTTCGGGGCCTGGCTGGTGTCAAGGGGAGGCAGAGAATAGGCACCCACGGCCAGCGGAGCCAAGTTGGGAGGCACCGATTTGAGAGGCTGAACATCCGTGGTCGCGGCCATCGGTGTGCTGTCAAGCTCTCTGTGCGAAGCAATGTCAGCCGAATGACCCGAAGCAGTGTGAGCTCAAATAATCACTTACCTGTCCGGGTGGGGAGCGGCATTGTCATTCTTTGCAAGGACGGTACCGATTACGGTGCCCAGTACCACTCCAACGATGACGATGCCGACGGCGAGCAGAGCAATCGCCCAATAGGGCACGATGCCCCATAACTTCTTCCTGGCCCTGCGCTGCCATTTCGTCAGGGTGGTCTTCTCGGAGATGTCGCGAGCGGCAGTGTTGATTTCGTGCTGGCTCGCCTCACTCCGGGAGGTCGGACGGGAACGAGACAGAGCGGGTAGGTCATCCTCGGTCGATGAGAACTCGGGATTCCGTGTCGCGATGCCGAGACCTCCGGCACCGGGGATAGGTTGCGCGCCAGTGGCGGCTTCGGCTGAGGTGGGTGGCATATCGTTTGTGGGTTCTGGAGACTTTCTTCTCGCGAGCGAATCCTCGGGATACCGGGTATAGGGCGGCAGCTCTTCCATGTGCCCCAGAGGCCCAATCAAATCGCCCGCTTCCTCGCCATCCGGGCCTAGCTGTCGTTGATAGGCGTTGCCCATGCCCGTGAAGCCAACGGGGATGTCTTCTTGAGTCGTGTCCTCGCCCGCGGCCGTGGTTTGTGTGTAGAGTGCGTAGGGATGAGTCGGGCCACGGGGACCCACGTACGATTGCCGATTGGAATTGGGAGCCGTGGAAGAGGTAGCGGTGCTGAATGTGCGTTGCGGATACATTGAGTATGGATGTGAAGGGCCGAGCGGACCCCGATACGGACGCTCGGATTGCATGAGCGCATCGCCGGTGGCCAGGCCGGACGAGACGGGTGCATCCGGATGGCGGCGACGAGCAGAACTGGAGCCATCGTTGCGGAGCGTCAGAGAATCGTGTGATGGCGGAGGTTTGGAGGCACTCGACGGACGATCGGAATCGGAAGTCGTCTTTGTCGGTGCGAAAGCAGCGGGCGGCGATGGCTGTGTGGTGGGAGGGAGAGGTATTGAAGGGTCATGTTGTGCGATGTCGGGGCCGGGGGAAGGCTGAGTAGGGCGGAATCCGTCTGCTATGGCAAATGCACTCAGGTCATAGTCGTCATCGCTGCGAGCGCTGTCGGACCGTCTCGGTTCCCTCGTCGACGATCTTCGTTGGAAGCCCGAGGCCGCAGTGTCGAATGGGTCCATCGGGTTCGACGGAGGTGATGATGGAAGCGCCGGCAGGCAGACCTAAGCCTGCGGCATGAGAATTGTGAGGGGGCACGAGGGAACCGCCGTGCCCGTGGTCTTGTCCAACGTCGTTGCAAGCCCAGGAAGTCGTTTCAAAGCAGGACGGACGGGACGCTGTTTAGGATGTCTATCCAGCGCCGAGACAGAAACAGGGCGCGTAAACGAGGCGACGGCCAAGGGAACGACGAGCTGTATGAGACCGAATTGACTCTAGCCGAGGACGAGGTGGAAATGGATCTATCGAGATGGCTCCCGGCAGACGAGTGCGTGAGAATGTAGAGAATCGTAGATGAAGGAGAGGATTGGGGGTGGTGGGGGCGCGCTGAATCCAAGTGTGCCGGCGGCTTGCAAGCGAGGTAGCAGCGAGGACTCTGGCCAGTCCAAACTCAGGCCCAGACGCTCAGACACCAAGAGGGTGAGTTGGGAACCTGGCGAGGAGCAGTGGAGCGTGCAGAAAGTACCTAGTAGTTATTTCGGTCGTAGGGGGCTCTACTAAGGCACTGGGGGCTCTTTAGGGGGACGACAGGGGGCATCATGGCTGGGTGATCATTGGTGATTGGCTGGCCTGGGGTCTCCGGGTGGAGCGGCACTCCCTACAGTGCGTGCATAAATGGCACGGTACGACAGCGCCCCGGTGTATTCGGGGCTGTTGGGACCTCTGCTGCACTGCACGCCTTGGCAACTTGGCAGCTTGGTCCCTGAGGAGAAGCCTGAGCGCGACAATGGGCTACCTAAGAAGGGAGGGTAAGATGGGTACCAATACCACCTATTTACCTTGTAATTAGATACAGTACACAAGGAGAATCACGGTCTGCACAGTGCACAGTGCAGTGAGTACCGCGATACCTACCTACCTAAGGAAGTACTGTATTTAAGTGCCTACCCGTTGATCTTGGTGTGGGGCCACAGCAGCCCAACTAAGTGTCTTCGCCACTTAAGGGATTTCCCGGTGATCTGCCGGATCGGACGATTCGCCGGATTCACCGCCAGTTCGCGTCTCCACTTCAATCCTGAATTACTCCACCACCATGGCCCCAATTGATGAAGCGCTTGACTTTCTGAAGTCGTGTGGCACTGTTAACTATGCCAAGACTGCGCGTCAGTTCAATTGCGACGAGACTACCCTGCGACGGCGACACCAAGGCAAACAGAGGTCAAGAGAGGATGCCGACAGTTTGTATAAGTCACGTCTCTCGAAACAGCAGGAAAGGGACCTTGTTGCGTATATTCGCAAGCTTTCATCACGTGGGATTCCACCTACGCTGCCGATGATCAAAAGTTTCGCCCAGGATATCGCCAAAATTGAGGTCGGAAAGGACTGGCCGTATAGCTTCGTCCGACGCAACAGCGATGAGCTCGGTTGCACTTGGTTCGACGGTTTCGATATCGCAAGAAAGAGAGCAGACAATGCTTCTAGGTACAGAGCCTACTATGAGCTCGTAAGTAGGTGCCTAAGTCCACCCCTTCATTGCTGATCGTACAAGATTGGCGAGAAAATCGAGAAATACAACATCCTGCCTTGCAACACGTATAATGTGGACGAAAAGAGTTTTCCTCGGCGTCATCAATCGTACCAAGAGAGTATTCTCTGTTCATGCTAAGAAGCAAGGAAAATTGATCGGTGCTGCCCAGGATGGCAACAGATCATGGATCACGTTCCTGGCATGTGTCTGTCAAGACCTGACCGCGCTACCCCCGTTTCTCATCTACCAAGGCAAGCCAGGGCAAGTTCAGGACTCCTGGCTCACGGAGTTTGATCCGGAGCACCAAGCGGCGTTTTTCACAACCTCAGAAACGGGTTGGACGAACCATGAACTTGGAAAGGAATGGCTCATTGGTGTTTTCGACCGGTTCACGAAAGAAAAGGCGCGAAACGGCCGAGATTACCGCCTCCTGATCACCGACGGACACTCTAGTCATGTCAATATGGACTTCCTGGAGTGGTGTGACCAGCATCGGATAATCGTTGCCGTGTTTCCGCCGCATTCCACGCACAGGCTGCAGCCCCTTGATGTGTCCCTTTGGCCCTCTTTCGACCGCATACACCAACCAGCTCATCCAGTGGACTGCAAAGACGCAGGGACTCATTAGGCTATCGAAACGCGAGTTCTGGTCCTTATTTTGGAACGCATTCGGGTCATCATTCTCGGCGGAGAACATCGCAAGTGGGTGGAAACGGACCGGACTCCTCCCATTTGACCCTGAAGTCGTGTTGTCGCAGATCACGGAGAAAATAGAAGATGAGTCTGAGTCTGGCGACGGCTCCGTTGACTCGCTCGCCCTTCAGCAGCCTACTGCTCGGGATTTGCGCCGACTTGTCGACAAGGTAGTCGATGGATCCTCGAAAAATGCTAGCCGAGACAGTCGGAAGCTCAAAAGTACTCTCGAAAGTCTCCAATCTCAGAACGAATTGCTTCGATATGAGAATCAGGGACTTCGCGAGACTATCTTTCACGAAAAGCAGCGCAGAATGCGCGGTAAAGCTCTGAAGGATTACCTTTCGATCGTGTAGATCCTAACTCGGCGCAGGTATTTAGCCCTGCAAAAGTGGCCCAAGCGCGCTTGAAGAAAGCAGCCATGGAGACTCAGAAGCAAGAAGAGGCCTTGGAGAAAGAACGACAAAAGTTTGAGCGACAGCAAAAGGCGGCAAACCTCAAAGCCCTTGCTCTGGAGAAGAGAAGGCAGCGAGAGGCAGAAACTGAGCAAAGACGTCAGGTAAAGGAAGCCAGACAACAAGAGCGGGAGAAAACAGGCAAATACGAAAAGAGCTCAAGCGTAAAAACCGGGAAGCAGTGTCAGAAATGGGATCCGGACCCTTTGTGGCTCCACAAACTCGCGAGAAGAGTCCGGGTGTTCGAGACGAGATTGTCGTCGCCATTCCGGCTCCACCAGAACCGACGACAGCTCCGGAATACTCAAAGTCGCTAAGCATTAAGTTACGTAAAGATCCAAAGCCGGTCTTGGCCATTTCCTCACGTCCCAAAAAGCCATTATTGGCTGTCGAGAGCGATCGGGAGATGGTAGTCGCAATTCGGGGACTTGCGCGATCGGGACGCTACAGGAGACGACCACGGTGGCTTGATGACTGCGAAGTAGATTGAATGGCATTGCTAGGCATCTTTCTTGCTTCTGCTTTAATTTGAGATTGTTTCATATCATTTTCGTGGAGTTTCACTCAAATCTTCACCGGAATGCAAGGGAAGCAAAATCCGGCGAATCATCCGATCCGGCAGATCACCGGGAAATCCCTTAGTTGGCCCAAAAAATCCGGCACAGCCCAAAAAATCCGGCACAGCAGCCCACCTCCAAAACGTCAACCCTATGCATCTCAACCGCGTTTTCTCGCGCAACTTGACTTTATTTACGTATCTTTTTGCCGGAATACATTATGACAGATAACATGGCTACCCTGGAGGCAGCAAAAGCCGTTCTGGCGTCTCGTCGCGACCCCAGAGCCGATGTTCGTCGCTCAACAACACCAAAAGAACGCCTCTTTCCGTGCGAGATGCGGCCATCCGTTACAATGTGAAGAGCTCATCCGTACAGAGAGCCATTAATTTCATAAGAAAACCCTTTTCCCGTGCTCCAGGGCGTCCATTGGCGCTGACGGAGGACGAAGACGACGCCCTGGTTGCGTATGTACAGTGGATGGAACGCACCGGCATGCCCGCCACGAGAGAGCAACTTGAAGCTGTTGCAAATGCAATAAGAATGCGTCGAGATCCCAATGCCCGCCCGGTCTCGTCAAGTTGGCTTGACAATTGGCGTGGAAGTCATCCTGCGATCGCGAAGACGTATCTCAAAGCAGTTGAACGAGCCCGGAAGTCCTTTGAAGCCCACGGGGTAGAAGAAGTCGAATTTTTCTACTCAAAGCTTCGAGAAATCATCACCAGCTACCGTATTGGCAGTTCAGAGATCTGGAATGAAGACGAGGCCGGAATACGCATTGGGTGCCTGCGAGAACGCATCCAAGTTCTCATCACGCGCACCACTAGAGTCAAGAGCACCCGGCCCCGAGTTTTAGACCCAGCAAACCGAGAATCCTGCACGGTAATTGCCTCAGTTAACGCAGTGGGGGACTCTCTTCCACCCTGGCTTGTTTTCCAACATTACCCTACCACCAACTGGGCCGGCATCGACATCATGACAGGCGTACGGTTTGCCCAGTCGCCAACTGGCTTTTCCAACGCAGAGATACACCTTGAGTGGGCAAGGCATTTCAACTGCTGGTCTTGGGCATCGTCAGCGCAAGCAAAACAGTCAGGAAATTCGCTGGAAGAGTGGTTCGGCTGTGACGAGCATCTTCGGCGCCCCAACATGGGGATGAGTCGCGGAGGCGCCGCCAAACCAACGGCCTGACGACGAGAAGATCTACCGATTGCTTGTTGTGGATGGCTTTACAGGGCATACCACCCTTGACTTTGCTGAGTATTGTATCAAGTTTGATATCATCATTGCTATTTTCCTCCACATTCCACCCACCTCATGCAGCCGCTTGATGTTGGGGTATTCCAGCCACTAAAGTCAGCACATCAGAAAGCGCTTCGAAGTCGCTCGCAGAAGGCAACATATCATTTTCGCGGGTCAACTTCCTCACAGCTTTTCAGGACGTATATGAGGCTGGCTTCACGCGGCATAACATTATGGCGGCATTTGAAAAACAGGCCTCTTTCCTGTCGACCCAGCGCCGGTGATCACCAAGATCCTCCACGAGCAGCTACGACAACAGCAGCCGATCAATCCTGCATACGCCTCGCTCCTACCCTCGGAGACGCGTTTCCAAGTCGCCGCGGATGCCCTCAATGATATCCGGCAACGGTATGGGCCCTCATGAGCTCGCCATCACGAGAAAACTTGCGGGTTCTTGCGAAAGTGAACACCGAGTCTATCGCGATGGCGTCACATTCCCAGGGCATAGTCAGCGATAAGAATAGCCGAACCCAGGCGTATGCGAATCG